CTCCTCACTCTAGAAAAGATTCGGGAAAGACTCCACCAGAAAAACCTCGGATCAAGGCCCTCACTTAGGTGGTGGCAGTTGTCTGTGGCCGGTTAAGTCCTACCCTTTCTAAGCCCCTTACTAATCATTGGCTTCTTGCTACTCATAGCTCCCTGTGTCCTCCGCTTCATCCAGGACCGCGTGAAAGAAGTCTCCCAGGTCACTTTCAGTCAGATGCTGCTCCACCCCTATACCTGAGTTCCGACCTCCAAAGAACCCCACGACGACCCATACCAGCAGGAAGCAGCCAGATGAACACGTCGCCCCATTTTCTTATTAGAAAGAGGTCGGAAGGTTAGGCAGGAATCTAGACCCAACATGGCGGCGTTACCTGGCATAGCAGGCCTTTTGTTAAAGACTCCCTTCACCCTTGTACACACCCGCAGACTTACATGCGTCAGAGTTCTGGCTGGGCAACCACACTGCCCCATGACCTGCAGCTCACCTGCATTCCACAAGTTCGTAAACAGCAGTTTCGGTTGGCAGTTTCCAAAGACCCCTTCCTCATGACCCTTACTCAACTCCTGCCCTAGTAGTTTCAGGACCCCCCAGGCCCTGTTTGCACAACCAGCTTCCCTACCTCTTGGGCTATAAAAAGCCCCTACCGTCCTCCCTCAGTGCGACTTCCTCGGCCCACGCCTTTGGACCGAGGAACCTCGCCCACGAGTCCTAATAAAGGCTGTTCTCACTGCCATTTGCCTTGTATTCCTCGGTTCCGCTCCAGCCTCAGTTTACCTTTACAATGGAGTCTCTTATGTCTGCTTCTTTCTATGTAGACACAGTAACAATCTGATCTTTCTTTTCCCCACACCTCTTGATACTTTAACAAACCTGTCTAAAATGAGCTCGCCTTTGTCCTATGCCAAATGTACAAATAAAAACTAATTTTAAGGCATTGAAGGAATAATGTCAGTATTTTGATCCTTATAATTCTGGTTGTTTTGATCCTAGTTTATGGTCAATGACTCAGCAATGTTCACCTTTTGCCTCTTACTGCATAATTATGTATTTTTACCTTTAGGAAAATGGAATTATTTTATTTGAAATATACATAATTATCTCAAGTAAATTAATAAATTCAGTTAAACTTCAGCTGTCTATGACCATGTTAATTTTTACTCATTTGTTCCTCGTAAGCACCAAACCTTTTTTGATCACTCTTAACTCAAAACCCTTTGGAAAATGTATTTCTCTGGTCCTCGATTTACTAAACAGAGTTTATGGAATGCAGTTTTATCTTGATTTTATCTTGAGATCATTAAAATGAATATCGATGCTGAAATGAATTTTAATAGAGTGATGTCCTCAGAGCCTATTTAAACGTTTGGGACTGTTTGCCTCTATACCAATTTATTCTGCACTACTATACTTTTTTTTTTTTTTTGAGATGGGGTCTCGCTCTGTGGCCTAGTCTGGAATGCAGTGGTGCCATTTTGGCTCACTGTAACCTCTGCCTCCCGGGTTCAAGCGATTCTCCTGCCTCAGCTTCCACAGTAGCTGGGATTACATGCGTGGGCCACCAGACCCGGCTAATTTTTGTATTTTTGGTAAAGACGGGTTTCACCATGTGGCCAGGCTGATCTGAAACTCCTGATCTCAAGTGATCCACCCACCTCAGCTTCCCAAAGTGCTGATATAGAAGCAAACAGTCCCAAATGTATCAATAGGCTCTGAGGCCAGCTGCTCTACTTTTAAGTACTTACATCTGCTTTTTAGTTTTTCTGACAGACTGTTTTCCTGGCAGACTATTCCTGCAGCATGTTTTTGAAATCTGGCAGCAACAGTTTTTTTTGTTGTTGTTGCTGTCACCACACTCTTTCCACCAGCTTTAATTTGGGGCTTCTTGTTTGTTATAACTTTGATAACCCTGTATCTATGCTTCATATAACTGTCTCATTACAACCTGGTAGTTCTGACTGAGAGCTAAATGTCTTTCCTATTAAGTGCATAAGCTTGAGTGCGTGGACTTTGTGACATTTGGTTTTCTCAGAATTCTTTTTGCTTCGTCCTGATTTTTAGCTATTTTCCAGATAATTGCAGGATCCCTGAGTTATGGTTAAATGTGGTCTTCTGGTACATTCTGTCACCTTGTACAAAAGGTGATTTTTTTTCATACTCTTAGCTTTAATTTCATCAAAGTGATTGATGCTCATTAGAATCCATCCAAATTTAGATGTTCCTGCCAGTAATCAATACCTCTGATTGAGGTTCTAGATTAAGCATTTTAAAAACAAAAAGGGAGTATTTTGAAAATAATTCAATAAGTATATGTCTTTAAAAACACAAGTATATTCCCTAGTAAAGTGAACCTATATATAGCTAGTTGGCAGGACCTGTTCACTTTGAATATATTGCACAAACATGTCTAGGTCACCACCAACCTTTCCTCACTAACAAGGTTGATTATTATTTGCTGGTCTGGTGGAGCTGGCCTCTTGAATCCTCAGTGCTCCCCACTGACCCCCACTGTGGAGGACAGACAACAGAGGTTGGCAAACATTTCCTGTAAAGTCCCAGATTGTAAATATTTTAGACCTGTTTAGGGCAAGGGGAAAAATAAAGGATATTGTATAGATGTTTAGATAACCAGAAAACAAATTCCAAGAAATTTTTAGTAATGACATTTAAAATATACTAATAAGTATAATATAGGTTTGCTAATGAAAGGGATAGAATTTGGTGGGGGAGGGGATGACATTTTCCTTAATTGCACTTCCGAGTTGGTGTTTTCTGTCATCAAACTGATAACAAATATTCATCTGTAAAAACCATTTGTAGCTCACATGTTACTGATCCAAGTTTCAACTGATTTCACACTTTCTTTGCAACCTTAGCCTAGTCTCTGTAAAATTTGTATTATTAGGGTATCTGTCCTTATAGGGCATATCTTTATAGAATATTTTCAGTTTATTTCTGTAACTGTTATACCACTACACTGTTCTGTCAGTGAGCACACGCTTCTTTATTTTCTCTCTCTCTCTTTTTTTAGGACAGAGTGTCTGTCTGTCACTCAGGCTGGAGTGCAGTGGCACAATCTCTGCTCACTGCAACCTCCGCCTCCCAGGTTCAAGTGATTCTCCTGCCTCAGCCTCCTAAGTAGCAGGGGCTACAGGCATGCACCACCACGCCTGGCTAATTTTTGTATTTTTGGTAGAGACAGGGTTTCACCATGTGGGCCAGGCTGATCTTGAACTCTTGGCCTCAAGCAGTCTGCCTGCCTTGGCCTTCCAAAGTGCTGGGATTATAGGCATGAGCCACTGCACCTGGCTGTTGTTAAATTTTATCTAACTCACTTTGCTATTCAGTTCACTCCACTATATTGTGTATTCCTTTTAGTTTTTAAGTCACAAGTTTGACAAGCATGCTATCATTTGGAGTATTTCAGTTTGTAATAGAAATGTTGAACAGGATAAAACTGTAGCAGGACATCCCACTATTGGGAATGCCAAACATGACCACTTGTTAAGAGGGCGACTGCTATATCTTTCAATTATAAAGGTTCATGTTCCATTTTGTAATTAGTAAGCAGACACTGGGGTGACATTTGAGGGCCTTTGACTGTCCTCTCCTTAACAATCTTTCAACCAGTTGTTTTAGCATCCATTGATGATCCTTCCATTGTTACATAGAAAGTGGCCATTAAATTATTTTCTAATTTTATCCTTTCAATATTTAATAATTGTCATTAAAAGAAGAAAGATTTTGACTGAGCTCTAAATCAGTCACTCAAACAATTTTATTTTTTTTTTAGAATCAAATAATTTACTTCTTGATTCCCTAACTTAGATATATATGATGTTTTATTCAAATTCTAGTATATTGATTTCAAACTATGGGTATCTGGGGTTCTGGTATTTTTCTCAGGTAAGCTACATTATCATTAAGGTCTATTATTTTTGTTTTTTTCTTATCTACTCTCCTTTGACCTAGAAGAGGTTTGTTTGTATGGCATGACATATACAGTGTTAAACATTTTAAATATATTAGGAACTAATATGTTTGGCATATAATACATCTAAAAAACATTGTTTTTCTTCTTCCTTTCCTCTTTACCACTCCCAACCATATCACGTTTGAAAAAAAAAAAAAAGTTTCTTTTTTGAAGACTAATTTGACAGTTCTAAGGCTTATTTTTAAGAAATTAATCTTGGTACATAAGAAGGCATTTTGTCTGTTCTGCATGTCTTGATTATTTGAAAAGATAATGCTCACATTAAGGTGAACTTGTTAACTGTTTCTATTGTGTATGTGAAAATGTAATGAGTGTATAGACTCATGTGTCACCTAATGGAGGTAAGATGTCTACTTAGTATACATGCCCTTGGTCCAGATCAGATACTTGTCCAAAAGATCACTTATGTCTAGGGTGTCATGGTCTCTCTTTTGTCTGCTGGTAAAATTTATCTGGTAACCCATTTAGGAGGTCCCAGGGCTGAAAATTTCTTAGGTTACATTAAACGTTCCTGGTATCACTTCTATTTTCTGAAGTAGGAAGCCAAAACAGCTTCCTGCAGCAATTTAATTTGCTGTCATCAAGTACAGCATGTTATAATGATGACAGTTACTATTTTTTAGTACTTAGTAGCTATGGGGGATCTAGTTGTAGCTAGTTTATTTGATTTATCTTGATGTAGTTTATTCATTTTTACAAATTGCAACATTCTTGATTAATAAATCTGCGCATGTCAACAGTAGCAAAATAATTGCCTTGCAAAATGTTTCCTCTTTTAAAACTATACTGTTTCCCAAATTTCTATATACAATAATGCATAAATACAATCCATGGAAATTCAAAAAAATAATGCTTATTCATAGATAAATTAGTGTAGCAGAACCAGTATTAGTAAATTCTACCTCTATCACATCGTTTTCATAACTTTAGTAGATAATACAATTGTTGACACTTAAGATCCACATGTAATGAGATAAATTTATACTACTTTTTTCTTCTTTATACCTAGAGAATGGGACATTTTAGAGACTGAAGAGCATTATAAGAGCCGATGGAGATCTATTAGGATTTTATATCTTACTATGTTTCTCAGCAGTGTAGGTAAGTATTAGAAATACATAATTTTAACAATTCAGATCAGATGTCATATTTTAACCTCATTTACTTCATTTACTTTTGTTGCCTCTGAAATTATCTTTATTGTGCTAAAAAATATGTAACATAAAATTTACCATGTTACCATATCTAAGTTCAGTAGTTAAGTATATCCACATTGTTGTGCAACCAATCCCTAGAACATTTTCATCTTGCAACAGAGAAACTCTATACCCATTAAACAACTCCCTGTTTTCCCATCCCCCAAGCCCTAGCAACCATCATTCTACTTTGTTTCTTGGAATTTGACTACTCTAGATAGCTCATATAAATGGAATTATATAGTATTTTTCTTCTTGTGATGAGATTATTTCACTCAACATAATGTCCTCAAGTTGATCCATGTTGCACTTGTGATAATTTCCTTTTACTTAAAGGCTATACAGTCCATTATATGTATTGTAGGGTAGCAGAAACTTTTCCTCTATTCTCTTATGTTACGTGCCTAAGACTGGTGAATTAAGCTGACAAAAGAAACACTAACAGTAAAAAAGTATACAAATTTATTTGATGTTAATATTTTTTAATGAAAAGAAACAAAAAACATTAAGAAATGTACATACAAATGAAACTAGACAACTACTAAGAGTTCCTAACACTTTCATGTACTCACAAAAGTATTTCATCTTTTTTTTTTTTTTTTGAGACGGAGTTTTACTCTTGTTGCCCAGGCTGGAGTGCAATGGCGCGATATCAGCTGACTGCAATCTCCACCTCCCAGATTCAAGCGATTCTCCTGCCCCAGCCTGCCAAGTAGCTAGAATTACAGGCATGTGCCACCACGCCCAGCTAATTTTATATTTTTAGTAGAGACGGGATGTCTCCATGTTGGTCAGGCTGGTCTGGAACTCCCGACCTCAGGTGATCTGCCCACCTTGGCCTCCCAAAGTGCTGTAATTGATTACGGGCGTGAGCCACCGCGCCCGGTTCAAAGTCTTTTTTTTTTTCTTTTTCTTTTTCTTTTTCCTTTTTTTGAGATGGAGTCTCACTCTGTCGCCCAAACTGGAGTGCAGCGGCGTGATCTCGGCTCACTGCAAGCTCCACCTCCCAGTTCATGCCATTCTCCTGCCTCAGCCTCCTGAGTAGCTGGGACTACAGGCACCCACCACCATGCCTGGATAATTGTTTTATATTTTTAGTAGAGACGGGATTTCACTGTGTTAGCCAGGATGGTCTCGATCTCCTGACCCTGGGATCTGCCAGACTCAGCCTCCCAAAGTGCTGGGATTACAGACGTGAGCCACCGTGCCTGGCCAAAAGTATTTCATCTTTACAGCCATCAGTGAATGATTTGTTTTGCTACTTCTTGAAGATGTGCAAAATTTCTTTTTAAAAACATTTTATTATTTATTATTATTTATTCATTTTTTGAGGTGGAGTTGCCCAGGCTGGAGTGCAGTGGCATGATCTTGGCTCACTGCATCCTCTGCCTCCTGGGTTCAAGCGATTCTTGTGCCTCAGCCTCCTGAGTAGCTGGGACTACAGGCGCACGCCACCACACCCAGCTAATTTTTTTGTACCTTTAGTAGAGATGGGTTTTCACCATGTTGGCCATGCTAGTCTCAAACTCCTGACCTCAGGTGATCCACCTGCCTCGACCTCCCAAAGTGCTGGGATTACAGGCATGAGGCATCCCGCCTGGCCAGTGCAAAATTTCTTAAGTTTAAATGTACAGTCTTAATTATACTAGTGTCTTTATGTCCCAAGACAGATTGTAGGTAACAGAATCTCAATTGTGCCTCAAAGAATTAACAACAAAACAAAATTCAATCTGTTCTCTGCATTCAGGCAGAAAAGGGGAGAGCAGAGAACCCTTCCTGCATCTGCTATTTCTTGGTCGCCTTCAGCTTGAAATAATTAATATGGCAAAGCAGCATATTTTTGGAGTAGCATACTCTGATTGCCTTCAGTGTATACCACATTTTTTTTTTTTTTTTTGAGACGAAGTCTCGCTGTGTCGTCCAAGCCAGAGTGCAGTGGTATGATCTTGGCTCACTGCAACCTTCACCTCCCAGGTTCAAGCAGTTCTCTGTCTCAGCCTCCCAAGTAGCTGGGATTACAGGCACCCACCACCATGCCTAGCTAATTTTTGTATTTTTGGTAGAGACGGGGTTTCACCATCTTGGCCTGCCTTGTTCTCCCAAAGTGCTAGGATTACAGGCGTGAGCCACTGCACCCGGCCTACCACATTTCGTTTAGCCATTTATCTGTCGATGGACATTTGGGTTGCTTCCACCTCTTGGCTGTTGTGAATAGTGCTGCTCTCAATATGGGTGTGCAAATATCGCTTCAAGATCCTGCTTTCAGTCCTTTTGGGTATATATCCAGAAGTGAAATTGCTGGATCCTATTATAATTTTCTTTTTAATTTTTTTGAAAAATTGCCATACTGTTTTCCATAGCAGCCGCACCATTTTACTTACTTTCTCACCAACAGTCAGGGTTCCAATTTTTTCACATCCTCGCCAACATTAGCTTTCTTTTGGATAGTAGTCATCCTAGTGGATGAGATGGTATCTCGTTGTTTTGATTTGCATCTCCTTAATGATTAGTGATGTTGAACATGTTTTCTTGTACTTACTGTCCATTTGTATATCTTCTGTGGAGAAGTGTTTGTTCAAGACCATTGCCCATTTATTAATTGGATTTGTTGTTGTTGTTGTTGAGTTGTAGGAATTCTTTATATATTCTGGGTGTTAGCCCCTTATCCAATATATGATTTGCAGATATTTTCTCCCATTCCAGGACTCTTCTATTCAGTGTGCTAAATGTATCCTGTGATTCACAGAAATGTTAAATATTGATATAGTCCACCTTGTCTGTTTTTTTCTTTTTGAGACAGAGTCTTGCTTTGTTGCCAAGCTGGAGTGCAATGGCACGATCTCGGCTCACTGCACCCTCCCCCTTTCGGGTTCAAGTGATGCTTGTGCCTCAGCCTCCCTGGTAGCTGGGACTGCAGATGTGTGCCACCACACTTGGCTAATTTTTATATTTTTAGTACAGACGGGGTTTTGTCATTTTTGCCAGACTGATCTCAAACTCCTGACTTCAGGTAATCCACCTGCCTTGGCCTCCCAAAGTTTTGGGATTTCAGGCATGAGCCCCACACCCGGCTGTTTTTATCTTTTGTTGCCTCTGAACCTCATCTTATTTTTATATTGTTAAAACATACAAAAAGTAAAATACAAGAATCTTAATTTGTATTGCTTGATGTATTTTAACTTATTCCACATTAGTTCTGAATATGTAGTTACTAAAAAGTAAAACTTCATGAGGAAAACTTTTCAAAATATTAAACATCTATAACCATGTTAAAAGGATGGAATGAGAATGTATAGGAATGATCAATATTGTGATAGTTTTTAAAGGACTGTTTTAGGAAATGAATTTTTTTCTAAGTTGAGACCCTCTAAATCTATAGGCACTAGTATTACAAGTGGTCTCTTTCCCCTGAGAGGAATTTAAGGAAGGTCATTTTACTAAATTGCTTTCCATGTATTTTCTATATATATTTCCATATATTTTCTGTTTACCCCAATCATCCTGTTTTCTCTCACTTGCCAAACTTGTGCATGATTCAATATTGGGTGAAAAGAAAAGTGAATGATAAAGGATATTTTCAACTATTCTTTTTTTTTTTTTTTTTTTAATACTTTAAGATCTAGGGGACATGTGCATAATGTGCAGGTTTGTTACATATGTGTACTTGTGCCATGTTGGTGTGCTGCACCCATCAACTCGTCATTTACATCAGGTATAACTCCCAGTGCAATCCTTCCCCCCTCCCCCCTCCCCATAATAGGCCCCGGTGTGTGATATTCACCTTCCTGAGTCCAAGTGATCTCATTGTTCGGTTCCCACCTATGAGTGGGAACATGCGGTGTTTGGTTTTCTGTTCTTGAGATAGTTTGCTGAGAGTGATGGTTTCAGCTGCATCCATGTCCCTACAAAGGACACAAACTCATCCTTTTTTATGGCTGCATAGTATTCCATGGTGTATATGTGCCACATTTTCTTAATCCTGTCACTGATGGACATTTGGGTTGATTCCAAGTCTTTGCTATTGTGAATAGTGCCGCAATGAACATACATATGCGTGTGTTTTTATAGCAGCATGATTTATAATCCTTTGGGTATATACCCAGTAATGAGATGACTGGGTCATATGGTACTTCTAGTTCTAGATCCTTGAGGAATCACCATACTGTTTTCCATAATGGTTGAACTAGTTTACAATCCCACCAACAGTGTAAAAGTGTTCCTGTTTCTCCATATCCCCTCCAGCACCTGTTGTTTCCTGACTTTTTAATGATTGCCATTCTGACTTGTGAGATGGTATCTCATTGTGGTTTTGATTTGCATTTCTCTGATGGCCAGTGATGATGAGCATTTTTTCATGTGTCTGTTGGCTGTATGCATGCCTTCTTTTGAGAAATGTCTGTTCATAACCCTTGCCCACTTTTTGATGGGTCAACTATTCTTTATAATACAGTTTCACCTGGCATTTTGTATCAGTTAGAATGACTTGTGCAGGCCCAGGCAAGGTGGCTCACGCCTGTAATCCCAGTACTTTGCAAGGCTGAGGTGGGCAGATCGCGTCAGGAGTTTGAGACCAGCCTGGCCAATGTGGTGAAACACCATCTTTACTAAAAATACACTTGAACCCGGGAGGCAGAGGTTGCACTGAGCCAAGATCACGCCACTGCACTCCAGCCTGGGCAACAGAGCAAGACTCCGTCTCAAAAAAAAAAAAAAAAAAAAGCCTTATGCAAATATCAGAAAAAGTGCTGAATCAGTTGGCTTATACGGTAATGTAATTTATTATTATTGTTATTATTTTTAAGCTGGAGTAGAGTGGCACGATCTTGGTTCACTGCCTTCCAAGTAGCTGGGATTACAGACATGCACCTCCATGCCCAGCTAATTTTTGTATTTTTGGTAGAGACACGGTTTCGCCATGTTGGACAGGCTGATCTTGAACTCCTGACTTCAAGTGATCCACCCACCTCAGCCTCCCAAAGTGCTGGGATTACAGGCATGAGCCACTGCACCCAGCCTAATTTATTATGTCTTACAAGATATCCACAGTAGAACAATTCCAGACGAGATTCAGTGGGGCTGTGGTTCCGCTTTTCAATAAATTTTTGGGGTTTATACTCTTCTACATATTGGCTTCATTCTTAGGCTATAGCAAGACTATTGCAGGAGTTGTAAGTGTCATATCCATTCTTGGCAATTTTTAAAATTTATTTAAAAGAGACCTTTTTTACAGCCTCCTCAGACATGATGAATCCTTTCCCAGAAGTCCCCAGGTAGATCATAGGTTCCCAAATAAACCTCCCCTCACTTCTCACTTGTCAGAACTATATTACCTGTAAATTTCTTTTCTTTTTTTTTTTTTGAGACAGTTTCACTCTTGTTGCCCAGGCTGGAGTGTAGTGGTGCTATCTCGGCTCACCACAACCTCCGCCTCCTGGGTTCAAGCGATTCTCCTGCCTCAGCCTCTCAAATAGCTGCGATTATAGGCATGCGCCACCACACCCAGCTAATTTTGTATTTTTAGTAGAGACGGGGTTTCTCCATGTTGGTCAGACTGTCTCAAACTCTCGACCTCAGGTGATCCGCCTGCCAGCCTCCCAAAGTGCTAGGATTACAGGTGTGACCTGTAAATTTCTAAACCAACATCAACTAAGATAATGGGATTACTCCAATTGAATTTTTTAGACTAATCAGAATGTACCCTCTGGAATCGAACATGGAGAGAGTTTCTCTTAGACCATGAGGCTTTGTTGAGGAAGTATGGATACCTGAATAGAACTGGGATTCCATCAAGAAGGTGGAAGGGGCCAGTTGATACTGTTTTGGTAGCAATGCCTGCAATTGATTTATTTTTCCATTTTAAACACTTCTAGTTTTGAGTACTCAATTATCAAAAATTATAAGAAACAATTTCAAATTCATCAGCAAAATAAGAAAATTATTTTAACTTTAGAATTTTTTTTTTTTCCAGGTAGAGTCTCACTCTGTCTTCCAGGCTGAAGTGCAGTAGCACGATCTCAACTCATCACAACCTCTGCCTCCCGGGTTCAAGCGATTCTCCTGCCTCAGCTTCCTAAATAACTGGGACTACAGGCGCCCGCCACCATGCCCAGCTAGTTTTTATATTTTTAGTAGAGATGAGGTTTCACCATGTTGCAGTTGCTGGTCTTGAACTCCTGACCTCAAGTGATCCGCCTGCCGCGGTCTCCCAAAGTGCTTGGATTACAGGCACTTCAAGTTGACCCGGTCAACTTTAGATTTTAACTGGCATGTTAAACATCTTGTTTACAAATTTCTGTATTCCAAAATTGTAGCCTTGATTCAAAAGATTAATTGGTGCTTTTAATCCTTTACTGATCTAAGTAACTGTGTCAATTCAAAATACTTAAAAATGAAGCTAATAATTATTTATTTATATATATTTTTGAGACGGAGTCTTGCTGTGTCACCCAGGCTGGAGTGCAGTAGTGCAATCTCGGCTCACTATAAGCTCTACCTCCTGGGTTCACACCATTCTCCTGCCTCAACCTCCCCAGTAGCTGGGATTACGGTGCATGCCGCTACGTCAGGCTAATTTTTTGTATTTTTAGTAGAGATGGGGTTTCACCGTGTTAGCCAGGATGGTCTCGATCTCCTGACGTCGGGATCCACTCGCCTAGGCCTCCCAAAGTGCTGGGATTACAGGCGTGAGCTACCGTGCCCGGCCTGAAATGAAGCTAATAATTAAATTATGTTTTAAAATAGGGTTTATATAAGGAACATACATGTACACCATGGATGAATCTTGAAAATATAATGCTAAGGCCAGGCGCGGTAGCTCACGCCTGTAATCCCAGCATTTTGGGAGGTCGAGGCGGGCGGATTGCGAGGTCAGGAGATTGAGACTATCCTGGCCAACATGGTGAAACCCCATCTCTACTGAAAATACAGAAAATTAGCTGGGTATGGTGGCACGTGCCTGTAATCCCACCTATTCGGGAGGCTGAGGTGGAAGAATCGTTTGAACCCAGGAGGCAGAGATTGCAGTGAGCTGAGATTGTGCCACTGCACTCCAGCCTGGTGACATAGCGAGAGTCTGTCTCCAAAAAAAAAAAAAGATAATAGTAAGTGAAGGAAGACAAGACAAAAGTCCATGTATTATATTATTCTATTTGTATGAAAATACAGATAAAGATCTATAGAGTACAAACAAAGTGCATTAGTGGTTGTTTACAGCTGACTGGAGAGGGGATGAAACAGGGTGATAGCTGAAGGGTATAGAGTTTCTTTTTGAGGTGACAAATATGTTCTAAAATTGACAGTGATGGCTGGGCGCAGTGGCTAATGCCTGTAATCCCAACACTTTGGGAGGCAAGGCAGGCAGATCACCTGAGGTCAGGAGTTCAAGACGAGCCTGGTCAACATGGTGAACTTCATCTCTACTAAAGTACAAAAATTAGCCTGGTGTGGTGGCAGAAGCCTGCAATCCCAGCTACTCAGGAGGCTGAGGCAGGAGAATCGCTTGAATCCAGGAGTCGGAGGTTGCAGTGAGCCGAGTTCAGGCCACTGCACTCCAGCCTAGGCTACAAGAAACTCCGTCTCAAAAAATAAATTAAATTAAATTAAATTGACTGTAATGATGGTTGCACGTATCTGTGATTATATTAAAACCCATTGAATTGTATACTTTAAATGCATGAATTGTGTGATATGTGAATTATATCTCAACAGCTATTTTTTAAATTTATTTTTTTCTTTTTTTTTTTCCTTTTTTTTGAGACAGAGTCTCACTTTCACCCAGGCTGGAGTGCAGTGGTGCAATCTTGGCTTACTACAACCTCTGCCTCCATATTCAAGAAATTCTCCTGCCTCAGCCTTCCAGGTAGCTAGGATTACAGGCATGTGCTACCATGCCCAACTAATTTTTGTATTTTTTTTGTAGAGATGGGGTTTCTCCATGCTGGCCAGGCTGGTCTCTAAACTCCTGGCCTCAAGTGATTCACCCACCTCGGTCTTCCAAAGTTCTGGGATTACAGGTGTGAGCCACTGTGCCAAGCCTTAATAGAGCCATTTTGAAGAACAGGCTTTGTAGAATTTCTTAATAGATTTGCCTAACATTTATTTGTTTTTCATTTTTCTTTTTTTTTTTTTTTTTGAGATGGAGTCTTGCTCTGTCACCCATGCTAGAGTGCAGTGGCGCGACGTTGGCTCACTGCAACCTACTCCGCCTCCTGGGTTCAAGCAATTCTTCTACCTCAGCCTCCTAAGTATCTGGGATTACAGGCATGTGCGACCATGCCCGGCTAATTTTTATATTTTTAGTAGAGACAGGGTTTCACCATGTTGGCCAGGCTGGTCTCAAACTCCTGACCTTAGGTAATCTGCCTGCCTCAGCCTCCCAAAGTGCTGGGATTACAGGCATGAGTCACTGCTGGCCGCATTTGCCTAACATTTAAAATTGACAAATAGTGTTGGAGTTAATTATAGTTTTCATGCAGTAAAGACTAGCAGAAATAGTGAATTTTCTTTTAAGGTATGGCCATCTTGAAGTATTCTGGTTTTCTACAGCCCCCCTGTAGATGATCATTTTCCTTATTCCTGCTCTTCTCTTCAGTCAATTATCTCCTCCAAACGACACAGGATAGAAGCCTAGCACTTCCTGTCTAACAAAATAACCTTTCCTCCATTCATTTCTGCTATAAAACCAAAGTTTTTGGTTATTTCCATTTACAGTAAAAGCACACAAATATGGAGAAATAGATCCTCTGCTTTTTTGTATTCATTATTAATTATGATGAGGGACTGTAATTGTATGTTCTTTTAGTATTTATTTTCCTTCTGATAATTAAAATCTCATTGCCTGATAAATTATGCATTTGTATGCATAAATTTTAGGTTCAGAATATTTTACAATCCATGCCACAGTTCAGAAAATTGTATCTGTAATAATGATTAAATTATTATAAGTATAAATAACCTAGTTTGCTTCTTCACAGGGTTTTCTATAGTGATACTGTCCATATGGCCATATCTCCAAAAGGTTTGTACATTTCAATCTATTTTTCCCTTATAGCTACAGTAGTAGTAACTCTTACATAGTTAAGCATTTTCTAAAGAGTCTCTTTGGTATTCTATGATTTAATCTTTACAAGAATAATGAGATAATAGTTCCTTAAAAGAGGCTTATAAGTAAGGTGACCATATGCTTTATTGTGCAAGCCAGAACACTTTTGAAGTGAAGAGAGTGCTATACAAGGAAAAATAGGATCATACCCAGATAGTCCCAGGCAAATGTACATGTATGGTCACCTACTCAGAAGCCACGTTCACATTCCATCATTACCTCTTCCCTAATAAAAAGGAAACTAGTAATAGTCTGAATTCCCAAAGTGTGTAAATGATATGTTTGTGGAATAATTTAATGCTTTTCCCATAAAATTAATTTGGGCTATCAGGTAACATTGTAAAGACTAGAACATACGTATTTTTTGATGCTGTTATTACTAGAAGGGGAAGAGGGGGTGACATGAAGATGTAAGTTTGTTAGGTAGCTTGACATCAGTTGATCATCAAGTCCTGTCAGTTCTATCTTAAATCTCCAGGAAGGAACTTAACTAAAAATCAGTATATAAGTTGGTTACATAATTCATCTATAACAATGTTTTAGTAAAGGTTCTTAAAGAGTTCCTCTGTATTCCCTAACCTACTCCTTAACCTGCTATTATCTGATTAACTTTTCTGCTGTCCTGAACTCCTCTTGTAAGTTTTCCAGTTACTTAATTGTTGATCATGAAATACTTTTCAGTCCTTACTTTAGGTGACACCTGGAAAGGATTTGACATTGTTGTCCTCTCCTTACTTCCTGAAGCTACCTGTATTAGTCTGTTTTCTGTTGCTTGTAACAGAATACCCTAAACTAGATAATTTATTTTAAAAAAGGAATTTATTTCTTACCATTACGGAGGCTGAGAAGTCCAAGGCTGAGAGACCACATCTGGTGAGGGCCTTCTTGCTAGTGGGGACTCTCTGAAGAGTCCCAAGGCATTGTAAGGCATCATGTGATGAAGGGGCTGAGCATGCCAGCCCAGGTCTCTTTTCCTTCTCTTATGAAGCCACCAGTTCCACTCCATGATAACCCATTAATACATGAGTGGATTAGGTACATTAGGTAGTTAGTTGGGTATCAACAGGGCACAGCCCTCATGATCCAATTGTTAGTTGGCAGATCTGTATCTGTACGGGTCTGCAGCAACCTCAGTTCTTGCCTCCTGAGAAGAAATAATTCAAGTAAAGGACATAAGGCAGAAGGAGAACCTGAGGCAAGTTGTAGAGCAGGAGTGAAAATTTATTAAAAAGCTTTAGAGCAAGAATGAAAGGAAGGAAAAGAAGGAAAGTGCAGTTGGAAGAAGGCCAGGTGGGCAACTTGAAAGACAAGTGCGCGGTTTGACCTTTAGACTTGGGATTTTATACACTGGCATACTTTTGGGGCCTTGCATTACTTCTCCCCACTCACCCCATGCCTGAGATCATATTGGGAAGCTGCTAATCACCAGGTGTTTTCTATGTATTAGGAGGCTGCCTTCTCCTAGCCCTGGCTGTGACCAATATTACTTTAGAGAGTTAACAGCCTCCTGACCATCACCTAATGGTCTCCAGACACTCCCTATGTGTGGGGCAGGGGAGACCTTTCCTGCCCTGTTGATACCCAACTAACTACCTAATGTAACACAATTACCTCTTAAAGGTCCTACCTTTCAACATTTTAATAATATTAATTTAAATATTAATTTCCAAAACATGAAATTTGGAGGACACATTAAAACCATAGCACCACCTCTTAGCTTCTATGACATTTCTCTATCCTGGCTTTCCCCTTAACTCTAACGACTTATTCTTAAATTCTTTTGTGTATTCTTCCTTATCAGTTTGTCCCTTGTTGGTTTTCCTAAGAGGTTGGAGAGTGTGTGTGTGTGTGTGTGTGTTCGCACATGCATGTGTGTGTTTTATACTAGATTCTGAACTTTGTCCCATATTAGATGTATAGCCATCAACTTATTAGATAGATCCATGGTACTTGGATGAACCCAGGCTCCTTAGGTCTTTACATATTTTTACCGGAATGCTTTTCCTCTCTCCATCTTTCTTTTGCTCTCCCCTTTCTCCTTCCTCACTGTCTTTTATTCACTCTTCAAGGTTTTGCTCCAGTGTCACTTCCTCTGGAAAGCCTTCTCTTTTTTTTTTTTTTTTTTTGCGATGGAGTCTTGCTCTGTTGCCCAGGCTGGCATGCAGTGGCATGATCTTGGCATACTGCAATCTCTGCCTTGAGGGTTCAAGTGATTCTCCTGCCTCAGTCTCCCAAGTAGCTGGGACTACAGATGCCAGCTACCACACCCAGCTAATTTTTGTATTTTTAGTAGAGATGGGGTTTCACCATGTTGGCCAGGCTTATCTCTACCTTTCCTCAGGTGGTCCACCCACCTCAGCCTCCCAGAGTGCCGGGATTTCCACCTTCCGGGTTCAGGTGATTCTTATGCCTCAGCCTCCCAAGTAGCTGGGATTACAGGCACCTGCCACCATGCCTGGCTAATTTTTGTATTTTTAGTAAAGATGGGGTTTCGGCATGTTGGCCAGGCTAATCTCGAACGCCAGACCTCAGGTGATCCTGCCTCAGTCTCCCAATTGCTGGGATTACAGATGTGAGCCACTGCGCCTGGCCTGGAAAGGCTTCTCTGACTGTCCCTCACAACAGTTTGGATCAGAAGGTTTTCCTGTATACTCCCGTTTCCCTTTATCATTAGCCCTTAATGTGGAGTGTCCTAACACTATATTTACAGAGAGTTTACTTAACTCCCCTACTAGATTGTCTAGATTGTTAGGATTGTTTTGTTTTTACGAATTTTTTTTTTGTTTTTGTTTTTTGTAAATGGAGTTTCCCTCTGTTACCCAGGCTCGAGTTCAGTGACGCAATCTTGGCTTACTGCAGCCTCCACCTCCAAGGTTCAAGTAATTCGCTTGCCTTAGCCTCCCAAGTAACTGCGATTACAGTCGTGCACCACCAACGCCCAGCTAATTTTTGTATTTTTAGTAGAGATAGGGTTTCACTATGTTGACCAGGCTGGTCTCAAACTCCTGACCTTGGGTGACCCACCACCTCAGCCTCTCAAAGTGCTGGCATTACAAGTGTGAGCCACCATGCCCGGCCCAGTTTTACGAATTTCTACTTTTTGAAAATGGTCTCCTAAAATATATTTTTAAAGGAATATAAGAAAAAAAGCAATACAAATTTTACTTTTTACTGATTTAGTGCCATATTTTCATTGTAATTTTGAAAATTATATTACATGAAATTATTACCCATTACACTAAAAATTCTTTCCATACTGATAGTCATTGGAATTGGCACAATTCTGGAGCAATGTCTTCTCTACTAAAAAGATATTTTCATGTATCAAAATTCTTAATTTCTTGGCATTTAGTCTTTTTAGTCAAAATTCTCAAAAGAAGGATATTAGTAGTGATTAGGTCTAGTCAGCATACTATGTTGAGTTTTGAAGTACTCTCTTTTCTTCAGATATTTTGAAAACTCTTTGAAGAGTTTTGCTATCAGGCCTAGTGCTGTGGCTTATGTGCCTGTAGTCCCAGTGCTTTGGGAAGCCAAGTTGGGAGGATTGCCTGAGCCCAGGAGTTCAAGACCAGCCTGGGTAACAATATAAGACCTTGTCTCTACAAAAAAATTTTAAAAGTTAGCTGGGTATGGTGGTGCTACTCCCTGTAGTCCCAGCTGCTTGGGAGCTTGAGGTGGGAGGATTTCTTGAGCAAAGGAGTTTGAGGTTACAGTGAGCCAAGATTATGCCACTGTATTCTGGCCTGGGTGACAGAGCCAGACCCTGTCTCAAAAAAAAGAAAAAAAAAAAGTTTTGCTTTCAAATCACTACACATTTAACATTAAAATTTAGTTTTCATTATTTTTTTGAAAATTAATTTAAAATTTTATATGACATGAAATTATTATTTTCTATTTTCAGAGATGACAAATGAAACTAAAGGTAGTACAGGGAGAAAATGAAAACCAGAGTACCTAAACTGAAAGATATTTTAACAGCTAGAACTTTAAATATTATGTATCATTATACTTTTGCATATTATTTCTTATGTCCCATAAAGAAAAACGCACCTAAATATTTTCAGTTTAAATACCTTTAGGGAATTGCCAGGCATGGTGGCTCACACCCAAAATCCCAGAACTTTGGGAGGCCAAGGCAGGCGGCTCACCTGAGGTCAGGAGTTTGAGACCAGCCTGGCCAATATGGTGAAACCGCGTCGCTACTAAAAAAATACAAAAATTAGCTGGGCCTGTGTGGTGGCACATGCCTGTAATCTCAGCTACTTGGGAGGCTGAGGCAGGAGAATCGCTTGAACCCGGGAGGTAGAGGTTGTAGTGACCTGAGATCGCGCCATTGCCCTCCAGCCTGGGCAACAAGAGCAAAACTCCATCTCAAAAGTAAATAAATAAAATTAAATAAATAAATAAATATCTTTAGGGAACAAAAGGTCGTAATTTTCCTTATTAAATTGTTCTACCACATATCTATGTTCATTTAAATTTATTTCCTAAAATTTAATAAAAGCCATTAAGTAGAAAGATTAGAGATAGAATCTTCCTATGTTGCCCAGACTGGAGTGCAGTGGCTTTTCACAGGTACAATCATAGTGCATTACACCCTCCAACTCCTGGGCTCAAGGGATCCTTCTGTTCTAGACTGCTGAGTAGCTGAGATTACAGGCATGTGCCACTTCACCTGGCTTAGCCTACCATATATGAAAAAAAATAATCTGGCTGGGTGTGGTGACTCATGCCACTAATCCCAATATTTTGGGAGGCCAGGGTGGGAGAACTGCTCCCTCCCGAGGCAGGAGGATTGCTTTTCGAGTTGGAGGCAGGAAGTTCAAGACCAGCCTAGGCAACATAGGGAGACCCTGTCTCTACAAAAATAAAAAAATTAGCTGGGCATGGTGGTGCATGCCTGTAGTCCTAGCTACTCAAGACGCTGAGGCAGGAGGATCACTTGGACCTCAAAGGTCGAGGCTGCACTGAGCCGTGATCGCACCACTGCGCTGCAGCCTGGGTGACAGAGTGAGACCCTGTCTCAAATAAATAAATAAAAATAAACAATAGTGTCTTTTCTATGCTAACATTTTCTGTTTTTCTGAAAGTATTTTGTTTTCTGAGTTGTAGTCATTTGGTTTTCCCCTCATGTTCATCATGATATGTAAACCCTTTTAAAGTGGTAGAATACTGAGTTGCCTATGTAGAAAGGAAGAATTTATAACAGGTTTATTGAGAGAATTGTCTATCATCTTTTGTGTTTTTATTATCTTCTTTATGCATTTGATTCTTGTGCCTAGTTTGTTTTTTAAAAAAAGATTTACGGTGCTAATGGCTGTTTAACGTATAGGGTAGCATAAGTCTAAAGATTTCTACTTACAAGAATTAAAGAATACCTTGTATTATTTTTCATGATGTTATTGCTATATGTATACATAGTGTGTGTGATTATCTTCTTACCAAGGTTTATATGAACCAAAAATTTCCATGGTCATTCTTAAAAATGAGCCTCCCAAGCATTTTTCCCTTGTGCACAGTCTGTTGTTAGCACTTTGATTGTACTGTCAGAAGTTTGAATCCTTTACTGTAAGTAATAGTGTTATAAAACTTATACGTTAGAATTGTTTTTATTTTTTTAATAGAAAATTTTACATGGTATAACAAATGTATTTAGATTTTAAACTTTTCTTGGATAACAATTCTTAAAGCACATACTTTTGTCTGCAGATTGATCAGACAGCTGATACAAGATTTTTGGGCTGGGTTATTGCTTCATATAGTCTTGGCCAAATGGTAGCTTCACCTATATTTGGTTTATGGTCTAATTATAGACCAAGAAAAGAGCCTCTTGTCGTCTCGATCTTCATTTCCGTGGCAGCCAACTGCCTCTATGCATATGTCCACATCCCAGCCTCTCATAATAAATACTACATGCTGGTTGCTCGTGGATTGCTGGGAATTGGAGCAGGTAAGTTTGTATGTTGATTGTGTCAAATTCACATTCATTCTGACATTTATGGCTCACTTTCACCTGGTCTCATCCCCTTTTAAACTCATATTTCACAATTCAACGTACATGTCTCTCATTGTAAACAAATATTTTTCCTATCATTTTGCCTTTACTCATGATGTTCTCATTACCTATAGTTCTCTTCTGTTGCCATCATTCTTCATTCTTCAAGATTCAGTTCAAACCAGGCGTGGTGGCATGTGCCTATAACACCAGCTACTCAGGAGACTGAGGTAGCAGAATCTCTCTTGAGCCTAGGAGTTCAAGGTCAGCCTGGGTAACATAGGGAGACCTCCATCTAAAAAAAAAAACCAGAAAAACCCAAAACAAAAATAGATCCAATTCAAGCTCCACATTTTCCACAAAGCCCTCTTGGGCTACCCTGCCCCTTCAGAGAATTTTTTCTTCTCTGACATGTCTCTGGCACTTGCTTATAGTATTGTACTGTTTTTATGCTTTCTCACTAACAAGATAGTAAACTTTTTTTTTTTGGAGTCTCACTCTGTCGCCCAGACTGGACTGCAGTGGCGCGATCTCGGCTCACTGTAACCTCTACCTGCCTGGGTTCAAGCAATTCTCCTGCCTCAGCCTCCCGAGTAGCTGAGATTACAGGCACCTGCCACTGTGCCTGACTAATTTTTGTACTTTTAGTAGAGATGGGGTTTCACCATCTTGGCCAGGCTGGTCTTGAACTACTGACCTCGTGATCCACCTGCCTCGGCCTCCCAAAGTGCTGGGATTACAGGCATGAGCCACCACTCTTAGCCTAAACTTTTTGCAATTAGAAAGAATTTATGATACTTTAAAAATATCCTATGCCCCCTAACAGAATCTCTTGAATGTAATGTACTCAATGAAAATTTTCAGTAAAATTGTTAGTGCATTTTTTTCTGTTTCTTATTTACATGTTTATGCATACAGAGTTTGTAATACTTTTTAAAATAGTTGTAGTAATCAATGGTGTGCCATTCACTCAGTGCTTTCTTAGTATTAAGTTTGATATTCTTTTTTTTTTTTTTTTTTTGCGATGAAGTCTCACTTTGTTGCCAGGCTGGAGTGCAGTGGTGCGATCTTGGCTCATTGCAACCTCATCCTTCCGGGTTCAAGCAATTCTTCTGCCTCAGCCTCCTGAGTAGTTGGGACTACAGGTGGATAATTTTTGAATTTTTAGTGGAGACGGGGTTTCACCATGTTGGCCGGGCTGGTGTTGAACTCCTGACCTCAAAATGATCCACCCACGTTGACCTCTGAAAGTGCTGGGATTACGGATGTGAGCCACTGTGCCCAGCTTGATTTACTTATGATACCATTTCTTCACTCATTGATATCTTTAACTGTTTTCATATTACCAAAACTAGTATGGTCCGTTAATTGATGCATTTGCTTAATAAAAATACCTTACATGCTTTGTATGATCATAAAGAGGAAGCAGTGACTATACTGTTGACCAAGATTTCTTCTTCTGTATTCAAATTTGATTGAATTTTATAAACTGAATGATAACTTACTTTTACTTTGGATTATTGTGCCTTGTTTTTAAGGAAACGTAGCAGTTGTTCGATCATATACTGCTGGTGCTACTTCCCTTCAAGAAAGAACAAGTTCCATGGCAAATATAAGCATGTGTCAAGCATTAGGTTTTATTCTAGGTCCAGGTAGGTGTTCTTCACTTGTCATTACTTGAATTTGAATTGAGAAAACTTTTGAGGCTTAAATATTCAATGTAACCCAAGTATAAAAACTCATAGCTGAAGGGAAAGGGAGGAAAGCTAATTTTTTTTATCCAGCAATGAGGCTATAGTCATTTTATCTTGATGCCAATCCACTAAATTAAGTGCTATTAGTCCCCTTTTATAGTTGAGAGTGCCAATGCATAGAGAATCTAAGTAAATTGTCCAAGGTCACCGTTTTGCTGAGTGTTAAAAAAATTAGTGAGGCCAGGCGCAGTGGTCCACACCTGTAATCTTCAGCACTTTGGGAGGCTGTGACAGGCAGATCACCTGAGGTCAGAAGTTCGAGACCAGCCTGGCCAACATGGTGAAACCCCATCTCTACTAAAAATACAAAAATTAGCCAGGTGTGGTGGCAGGCACCTGTAATCCCAGCTACTTGGGAGGCTGAGGCAGGGGAATTGCTTGAACCCGGAGACAGAGGTTGCAGTGAGCCGAGATCACATCATTGCACTCTAGCCTGGGCGATAAGCGCGAGACTCTGTCTCAAAAAAAAATTAATGAGATTTAATATTTCCTCAAGGCAAATTAATTTTCTGCTGAGTAAAGAATTGGTCATTTTCATGCCTAGAATAATATTGAAAAACCATATAATTGGTCCATATTTTGAATATTGAAGTTATGAATATTATCAGTTTGAATCCAACTCAGCTTACTTCATCATTAACACCCCATCTCCCACCCCCAGTTTCCATTACGTTCCTCTATTTAGCCAAAAGGAAAAGGCTCAACAGAAGGAAATCTAATTCACTGTTCACCAAAATCTATTTCGATTTAGTACCCTGAAACAAATACAAACACAAATGTAGAATAATTGAACTTGAATACTATATTGTAAAGTACATCAGGACATGGTTTGAGTCTTTATTTTCCAGTCTACCCTCAGTACCTAGCATAATACCTGGTATAGACTTATGTTCTTAGTAAATACTTTTTACCACCTTAAAAGCATTTTAAAGATTATGTCATTTAAAAATTTTGCATTATAGATGACTAAATATAAGCCTGAAGAACTTCGATGACTTTTCCAATAATAAACCCTCAACAAGCACTAACATTTATTGTGTGCTTACTGTATGCTAGTCACAGTTCTAAGTATGGTAGGTACAGTATCTTAAGTCCTCACCCTAGAGTTATATGTGAATTACTATAGAGCCACATATAGAATCTGAATCAGAAGAGCAAACCAGTACTCTTCCAATTGAGTTTTTGCCACAGATCCAAATTAGATTTTGCCACTTCATATTTCTTTAGAGTGATTTAAAAACACTTCTAATGTTTAAAGTCACTAAAAAATCTTCAAATACTGAGGTAGATTATGTATGCTTTTGGATGAAATGGTTTTTTTTTTTTTTCATTTTACCTGTATATGACATTATGGTCAAATGATATTAAATATATATATACACACCGATATGTATATGTACCATATACACAATAATATTTAAGATATCTGATCTAAAATATGTTTTCATTCTTATAATGAAGCTGATTAAACCTTTATAATTATTGGAAGAATTGGTATAATTTAAATTGCCTATGGAGATGTTTTGTAAAAAACTGAGAAGTTATGTAAGATACAACTCCTTGTGAATGCATGTACATCAGTGTTTCACAACCTTTTTTTCATTATTGTCTCCCTAAGGAGCCTTTTTCAATATTTTTTCCTGCTCTCTTTACCCCATAAAATTTTAGTGCCACAGATGTATCATATATCTTTTATGTACCATATGTATATCTGTACATACCTGCTTTATACCTAAAAAGAGGAAATTTTTTGACCCCCCATCAAGAACCAATTGCATCTGTTGAGAATGCATGATATAGAAGGATGATTCCATAACATTGTTCCCAATTCTGTTGTAAATGTCTTTTGCATTTTTTTATCCTATGCTTCTCATATAATAATTCATCTGTGAAAATTTTATCTTAATAAGTTTTTCAGACTTGTTTTGCATTCATTGGAGAAAAAGGTGTGACATGGGATGTGATTAAACTGCGGATAAACATGTATACAACACCAGTTTTACTTAGCGCCTTCCTGGGAATTTTAAATATTATTCTGATCCTTGCTATACTAAGGTAATTAGAAATGATAAAACTATTTTTGTAGATTGTGAAATTTAATGAGCTTTGTAATTGTTGGAAGATAATTATCCTTATGAAGTGTATTTGGTTTTTTATGTCTATAGTTTGTTTATATTTTTTGGTCAGGTAGTACTAAAGCATGTAATACCGGCAACCAAAAGACAACCTAATAAATGAGAACAGAAAAGGAAGGTCTTTGAAGATTCAAGGTTTGGTTTTTTTTGTTTTGTTTTGTTTTGTTTTTGAGACAAGGTTTTACTCTGTCGCTCAGACTAGAAGGCAGTGGCACTATCTCGGCTCAATGCAACCTCCATCTCCCAGATTCAAGGATTCTCATGCCTCAGCTTCCCGAGTAACTGGGGCTACAGTCGCACACCACCACATCCAGCTAATTTTTGTACTTTTAGTAGAGACGGGGTTTCACCATGTTGGCCAGGCTGATCTCGAACTCCTGACCTCAAAGCGATCTGCCCACCTCAGCCTCCCAAAGTGCTGGGATTACAGGCATGAGCCATGTGAGGCTGTGCCCGGCCTGAAGGTTTGATCTTGATTTACTAACTACATGTTTCTAAGTAGGAGAAAGGCAAGGAAAATAACATTTTAAATAGATTAATGAATTTGTATCAGTCAAATATAAAAGTTACTAGTAATGTGTATCTCTTTCATATATTTGAAAATTTTTTTAAAATTATGTTTTGTTTGTTTTTAGAGTGCTTTATTCAATAGTCTAAAAACATTTATTACTAATGTTTATAATCACTGTAAAAGTTCAGATACTAAAGTAGATCATGTATGCTTTAGGATGAGTTGGATTTTTTTCATTTTACCTGTCTCTGAGAATTTCATAAGATTTGTAACTTCTGTCTTAAGTTTATTGGTTATATCTCATTGGTAACAGTTTTATTACTGAAAAACCAATAAAAGAAACTGTATTAGAATGTGAAAAAAAATACAATGCCAATAATAAATTTAAACAACTTCTCTATTAAGCATTTTATAGGTACAATGTTTGTGTTTTTCTTTTTAAGAGAACATCGTGTGGATGACTCAGGAAGACAGTGTAAAAATATTAATTTTGAAGAAGGTACTTTAAACCCATTTGGCTGAATTAATGTAACATTATCAAAGTGTTTCTGATGATTCTGTTTGTTTGGTATTTACTTCGATTTTGCTTCTAAGGACAACACAATGGGTGATTGGGGAAGATCTTAAAAGCTGGAAGTGACCTAAATTGATATTTTTTAAAGAGGCATATCCATATTAGTTATTTGGTGGTCATGATTGACAAGGTTACAGACATTGTAAAAAAATCACTTTGTCTTATTTTCAGAGAGCCAGTATCCTAAAGCCTTTGAGATATTTGCAATGATTTCCATATCTTTACTACCACATAAATATGTCCTCCTTTTTTTTTTTTTTTTTTTTTTGAGATGGAGTCTCTCTCTTGTCGCCCAGGCTGGAGTACAGTGGCGCCATCTCGGCTCACTGCAAGCTCTGCCTCCCGGGTTCACGCCATTCTCCTGGCTCAGCCTCCGGGTTAGCTGGGACTACAGGCGCCCACCACCGTGCCCGGCTAATTTTTTGTATTTTTCAGTAGAGACGGGGTTTCACTATGTTAGCCAGGATGGTCTCGATCTCCTGACCTCGTGATCCACCGGCCTCGGCCTCCCAGAGTGCTGGGATTACAGGTGTGAGCCACCGCGCCCGGCCATGTCTTTCTATTTAAAGCAGTTCTTTATTCTTTTAAGCATGAGAACAGGTATGGTTTTGCCTTTTTATTTTTGTTGTTTTGGTATACTTTACAAATACATATTTTCATCCTTTAGATCCTCTCTGATTCATGTAAGTCAGAGAACTCGGTAAGTAGCTATATTTTACCAAAAAAACTGTTATTTAGTACTAATTGTATCCTCCTTGGGGAAAGAATGCAAGGACTGATCCTGGCCCTCAATAGTTAATAAAGTTGTGGAAAAGAGGTAGTATTATTTTACCAGGTACTTTCATAGCTCTGTTCTTTAATTTTCACAAAAGAAATAGTGGAAGATAAAGTTAAATGTAGTAGGGTGGAGAGCAGAGTGGTGAGGAGCTATAGTAAGTTTTTGAACTAGGACAGTTTTGACATTGATCCCATGCAGAGGCTAATCCAGATTGGTTATATCTCACTGGTAATATCTCATTGGTAACAGTTTTATTACTGAAAAGCCAGTAAAAGAAACTATATCAGAATGTGAAAAAAATATGATGCCAGTAACAAATTTGAACAATTTCTCTATTAAGCTTTTCAAAGGTACAATATTTGCGTTTTTCTTTTTAAGAGAACATTGTGTGGATGACTCAGGAAGACAGTATAAAAGTATTAATTTTGACTAGGCCTGAAGTAGGGCGATGACTGAGAATGGAGAAGGGATAAGCAGGAGTTGTTGAAGGAGGAATCAAGATAGAGATTTGGATAGAGAATATTAAGGATTAGAGAGAGCCAACATTTCTGCCAGGTTTTGATTCTAGATCACCTGGAAGAATGAGAGAGAACAAGAATTTAGGAAGGGAGGTTGGATGAAAAGAGAAGATGATTTCAGTTTGGATCAAGCTGAATATGCTGTTACTCTAGAACAACTAAAAAATCCCAGAGGCATTTGTAATTTTGACAGTAAAAGTAAAAGCTAGAGATAAAAATTTGTGAGTCACCCAGTGAAAAAAACACTATGGCAGCAAAGAGGGAGTGAGAGAAAGGATGGGGTGATGATTCAAGTGTGGGAAAAGATTGTTGAATCTGAGGAATGAATATGTGAGAATATGTTTGAAAACTTTCAAAATAAAAAATAAGAATGAGAGGTGAAGTGCCAACAGTGGGTATAAACTCCTTTATTCAAAGGTAAAAAATAGGATGCTAACTTCAAGGAGCTATCAGGTAAAGGGAAGGAGGAAGTTAAGAGATGAGGTAGAGGTATGACAAAGGGAAGATATGTAAAAATCAGTATTTCAGAAGTTGGAAGGGGATAATGATACACATCAATCCTTCATTTACTTTCATGTGCTTAGAAATCACCTGGGAACCTTGTTAAGATGCAAATTCTGATTCGTTAGGCTTAGGGTGATACTAAATAGGGTTGCCAATAAAACATAGGATGTTGCTTCTCAGAATAGGGGAGTTAATAGAGAAATGTAAAAATATATAATTTATAAAATAAAAAATAAAACACAGAATGCCCAATTAAATTTGAATAATGTTTTAGTATAAATATGTCCCACCTGGTTAAATTTGGATTTCAATAAACAACAAATAATGTTTTTTGTTTGTTTGTTTGTTTTTTCTTTAGTAGAGACAGGATCTTGTCGTGTTGTCCAGGCTGGTCTTAAATTCCTGGACTCAGCCTCCCATAGTGCTAGGATTACAGATGTGAGCCACTGCACCTGGCAACAGATAACTTTTAGTGTTAATACAATCCAGCTGGGTGTAGTGGCTCATGCCTGTAATCCCAGCACTTTGTGAGGCCAAACCAGGTGGATCACCTGAGGTCAGGAGTTCAAGACCAGCCTAGCCAACATGGTGAAACCTTGTCTCTACTAAAAATACAAATATTGGCTGGGTGTGGTGGCAGGTGCCTGTAATCCCAGCTACTCAGGAGACTGAGGCAGGAGAGTCGCTTGAACCTGGGAGGCAGAAGTTGCAGTGAGCCGATATCATTCATACCATGTACTCCAGCCTGGGTAACAGAGTGAGACTCTGTCTCAGAAAAAAAAAAAAAAGCTGGGCGCGGTGGCTCAAGCCTGTAATCCCAGCACTTTGGGAGGCCGAGATGGGCGGATCACGAGGTCAGGAGATCGAGACCATTCTGGCTAACACAGTGAAACCCCGTCTCTACTAAAAATACAAAAACTTAGCCGGGCGAGGTGGCAGGCGCCTGTAGTCCCAGCTACTCGGGAGGCTGAGGCAGGAGAATGGCGTAAACCCGGGAGGCGGAGCTTACAGTGAGCTGGATCCGGCCACTGCACTCCAGCCTGGGTGACAGAGCGAGACTCCATCTCAAAAACAAACAAACAAAAAAAAAGTATAAATACAATCCAAATACTTCATGGAACATTCTTATACTTAACTTTCAAATATGGCACAGAACATATTTATACTAATACTTATTGTTTATCTGAAATTTAAATTTAACTGGATCTCCTGTATCTTTATTTACTATATTGGCAACCCTAGTGAGATGCTGAGCATCTGCATTTATAACAAACTACCATGTGATGTGATGCTGCTGGTCTAGAAATCATAGATTGTGCTGCAAAGATTGAAAGCTATGCTGTCCAATATAGTAGCCATTAGCCACGTGTGGCTATGTAAATATAAGTTAAAGTAAATTTAATTATTTTCTGTCATACTAGCCACATTTCAAGTGCTCAGTAATGGGTATATGTGGCTAGTGGCCACTGTATTAGCACAGATAAAGAACATTTCTATCATGTCACAGTTCTATTGGACAGCACTGTTCTAAAGTACAAATGGGAATGAGTTTAGAGGAGATGTAATGTTTTCTTGTATGAGATTTCTAGTTACTTCAGAATAATTTTTATAAAATAAAATTTTTAAATTTCAATAAATGTTTGCATAAAATATGTCTGGTAAAAACTTCCATAATTGTTTTAATTTAAAGATATTCAAATTTAAAGAGGTTATTATGAGACAGGATTATAATTTCTAATTGCATAGAATTTGAGTCCATATACTAATGCAGTCTTTTAAGAAAATTTATAATTAGGATATCTAGTCAGTCCCCATAGTCTAGGATGCAACATTTCTGAGATTCTGCACTGAAACCAGCACTGAGTAGAGGCTACAGGAAACTAAGCATATATTATGAAGCAAACTCCAGTCTGACTTGGGGCAATGTTGATACTGACTTGAAGGAGTAAAGACTGACTTCTAGGTGGTGATTAAGAATCAGAGAGGTCTATCCAAATAATACAAGAGCCACAACCATCAGGGCCTACCCCTGGCAAAGGATCTGGACAAAGGTGACCAGTTCTGTTTGTGTGATTATAAAGGAAGGTCATAAGGCTATGTTGAGTGTCCAAGGTGCTTAATTCCCTTTAAGTATAGCAGTCTATTTCCAAATCTACTTATTGTTGGAGGAGGAACTCCTCAAGAATCCTGAGATGGAAAGGCAGGCATTATTATGAAAAAAATCATAGAAACTTACTACATCTTAGGAAAGCCCTCCCCCCTCCACCAACAACTGACACTGCACACAATTTAAGATAGCATAAATAAACATATTGTAATATTTTATGTATTAATTCCTGGCTTAGGCTGGGCGCGGTGGCTCACGCCTGTAATCCCAGCACTTTGGGAGGCCGAGGCAGGCGGATGAAGAGGTCAAGAGATTGAGACCATCCTGGCCAACATGGTGAAACCCCGTCTCTACTAAAATTACAAAAATTAACTGGGCATGGTGGCATGCACCTGTAGTCCCAGCTACTCGGGAGACTGAGGCAGGAGAATTGCTTGAACCCAGGAGATGGAGGTTGCATTGAGCAGAAATCACATCTCTGCACTTCAGCCTGGCAACAGAGCAAGACTCCGTCCCCCTGCCACCCCAAGAAAATATCTGGCTTATTTTGCTATTTATTGGTGTATTTATTCTGAATAAGTGGAAAAATTACAAAACAGCATGAATATGTATGAGTAGATTAATATGTCTGCATGATTCTCAGTTACATCAAGAATAGCTTAATGTGTATTAAACTTAAGACGTTCTTCAAGATGAGAAGTCAGTACACTTACTTTGTCCTCCTTGTTTATAAACCACCATCAAATCCTGATTATTTCTTTACAGAAACATAAATGATAGGAGTTTTTTAAATGGTAATGAAAACATAAGGATCTTTATGAATACTAATTTCTATTTATTTATTTATTTATTGAGACAGAGTCTCTGTCACCCAGGCTGGAGTGCAGTGGCTCAATCTTGTCTCACTGCAACCTCAGCCTCCTGGTTCAAGCAATTCTCGTGCCTCAGCCTCTCAAGTGGCTGAGATTACAGGTGTGCGGCACCATGCCCAGCTAATTTTTTTTTGGTATTTTTAATAGAGATGGGGTTTTGCCATGTTGGCCAGGCTGGTCTCAAACTTCTGACCTCAAGTGATCCACCTGCACTGGCCTCCCATAGTGCTGGGATTACAGGCATGAGCCACCGTTCCTGGCCATGAATACTAATTTCATGTAGCACTGAAATTCAAAATATATATGCATTGAAGTAAATCATAGAACTGGGAACTGATTTAATAAACCACTGGAGTTCTTCATGAAATTCTTGTAAGTCTAAGATTTAAGTAAGGTGGAAAAAAATCTGCAATTGAAATTTAAAGCAAATATATTTAATATGAGATCAGTATGTTATAGAGTTCTATAAATTACATTTTTGGATTGAGATATACCAAGTACAAAATACATCTGAGTATTTCTTAAGATAACAGAATTGAAGTATATCTCTGGGGAAGAAAATTCACCTTGCTTTTAAATGCCATTTAAAAATTATTTCCGTCATATAAATTATCTTATTGTTGGCCATGCACAGTGGCTCACACGTGTAATCCCAACACTTTGGGAGGTCAAGGCAGGCGAACTGGTTGAGCTCAGGAGTTCGAGCCCAGACTGGGTAGCATGGTGAAACCTCATCTCTACAAAAAATATAAAAATTAGCTGGATGTAGTGGTACATGCCTATAGTCCCAGCTTCTTGGGTGGCTGAGGTAGGAGGATCACCTGAGCCTCGGGAGGTCAAGGCTGCAGTGAGCTGTGGTCATGCCATGTCACCTTGGGTGACAGAGTGAGACCCCATCTCAAAAAATAAAAATAAATTATCTTATTATTAAACTACTTTGAATCCTAAAAAAAATTTTAAAATATTTATAAATTTTGCTACAATGTAATTTCTACATTATTTTAATGTCATAAGAAAAATTAGATGTATAGGTAATGTAATTTTTCTCCTATTTACCTACAGCAAGTACAGATGAAATTGAGGTTCCCCAAGGAAATATTGACCAAGTTGCTGTTGTGGCCATCAATGTGCTGTTTTTTGTGGCTCTATTTATCTTCGCCGTTTTTGAAACGTAAGTTTTATTCCATCTTTATCTAAATCAGATTATGTTTTAACCTTTATTTCTTAATGCAGTGTTAATTAGGCATATCGAGGTTATTAAAAATCTTATGTAAGGCAAATTTTTCTTACCATGATGTAAAAAATGTATATACATTTTGTTGCTTTTAACTTGAAAGTAGTTAATTCTTTGTCCAAAATCTTACTATCTTACTTTCTTATAAAAGAATCAGTTTCACAACTCTTTCCCTCTTTCATCTGAGTTTTATGATACGGTTATAAAACTTTAGTGCCATGATTTAATTATCCTTAAGCTCTATAATTTCCTACATATATATATGTATATGATATAGAGTTCTATAAGTTACATTTTTGGATTGAGAGATACCAAGTACAAAATACATCTGAGTATTTCTTAAGATAACAGAATTGAAGTATATCTCTGGGGAAGAAAATTCACCTTGCTTTTAAATGCCATTTAAAAATTATTTCCGTCATATAAATTATCTTATTGTTGGCCATGCACAGTGGCTCACACGTGTAATCCCAACACTTTGGGAGGTCAAGGCAGGCGAACTGGTTGAGCTCAGGAGTTCGAGCCCAGACTGGGTAGCATGGTGAAACCTCATCTCTACAAAAAATATAAAAATTAGCTGGATGTGGTGGTACATGCCTGTAGTCCCAGCTTCTTGGGAGGCTGAGGTAGGAGGATCACCTAAGCCTGGGGAGGTCAAGGCTGCAGTGAGCTGTGGGTCAGCCCCCCAAGTAGCTGGGACTACAGGCATGTGCCACCATGCTCAGCTAATTCGTTTGTATTTTTTGTAGAGACAGGATTTCTCCATGTTGCCCAGGCTGATCTTGAACTCCTGGGCTCAAGTGATCTGCTCACCTTGGCCTCCCAAAGTGCTTGGATTACAGATGTGAACCACCGTGCCTGGCACTATCATGTTAGCTATTTTTAAGGTATGCAATTCAGTAGCATTAAGTGCATTCACAATGTCGTGCAACCATGACCGCTAACTATTTCCTGAACGTTTTCATCATCCTAAACAGAAGCTCCATACGCATTAAAGAATAACATACCAATTAAACAATATTAATTAAATTTCAGACTGGGTGCGGTGGCTCATGCCTGTAATCACAGCACTTTGGGAGGCTGAGGCAGGTGGATCACTTGAGATCAGGAGTTCAAGACCAGCCTGGCCAATATGGTGAAACCCTGTCTGTACTAAAAATACCAAAATTAGCTGGGTATGGTGCTGGGCACCTGTAGTCCCAGCTACTCAGGAGGCTGAGGCAGGAGAATTACTTGAACCCAGGAGATGGAGGTTGCAGTGAGCCGAGATCATGCCACTGCATTCCAGCCCAGGTGACAGAGTGAGGCTCTGGCATCTCAAAAATAATAATAAACAATAAATATAAATTGCATTTTGTAGTCAGTTACTAGAGATCGCATGTAGGGAGAGAAACTTGGCAAGGAAGGATATAGTCATGTAAAGGAAGAGACATTGAGAGGTAAAGAGAAAAATATATACATTCAGAAACCCAGTATATTCTGATAACTTAATATAACATTATTGCATTGAAAGAGACCAATTTAATTAAAAATGTAACCATGATTATTTAGTAATGTTAGAATGATAGGCATTATGATTGGTGTGGTTTGTTTCCTTTTCCTTTGTTTCAGACTTTCTGTAATATGGCTATATTAGTTATATAATTAAAATAAACATTAGAAAGTAAACTCTGAGTAGGCAGACTTAGTAACTTAGGTATGTAACAACAACATGCTTAAAATGTGTTCAAACTTTTGCTTAAGTCTGTTGTCATTGTTAAAAGGCATGCAAATTCTTGAATGTGTAGCTGTCTTTTTTAAAACTTATACTTCACTTTAAGCATAACAGTTACTGTGATTTAAATAAGAATACTTTTTTTGGTTTTTCTTAGCATCATTGCTCCATTAACAATGGATATGTATGCCTGGACTCAAGAACAAGCTGTTTTGTATAATGGCATAATACTTGCTGCTCTTGGGGTTGAAGCAGTTGTTATTTTCGTAGGAGTTAAGTTACTTTCCAAAAAGTAAGTTAAGTGTTTTTGGTTTTATGTCTGTTTTTTAAAAATAAAACAAAAAACAGAGCTAACAATGCAAATGGATGTACCAGGAAAATAATCTAAAGCTTTTTGTGGACACAGATTTACAATTTATTAAGAGATCATAATATTTTTATACCCTACAGCATTTCTTTGGTAAAACAAAATTTCTCACAAAGTGAGACTTATTTATCTTTTGTCTATTATGTTTTCCTGAAAGTATATTTCATAAACCATTGTTCTGTATTGTAATATATATTGTGCAACAAAAAAGATTCAGTGGTTAAGTTTGGAAAATTTTGGTTAAGATTACCAAACTTATTCTAGAACGTCTATCCACAGTATATATATTCTAAATCATCCATCATGGCAAATAAAATTTGTGACATTTCCCAGACCACACAACACTTTTTTTTGAGACAAGTCTCGTTCTGTTGCCGAGGCTGGAATGCAGTGGTGCAATCATGGCTTAGTGCAGCCTTGACCTGCTGGGCTCCAGTGATCCTCTCATCTCACCCTCCTGAATAGCTGGGACTACAGGCATGATCACCATACCTGGCTAATTTCTTTTATTTTTATTTTTTGTAGAGACAATATCTCACTATGTTGCCCAGGCTAGTCTCATTCCTGGGCTCAAGCATTCCTCCTGCCTCAGTCTCCCAAAGTGTTGGGATTACAGGCATGAGCCACTGTGTCCAGCATAAGTGTTTTTTAATTGATACATGATAGATGTACATATGTTTGGGGTATGTGTGATACTTTGATACATTCATATAATGTATAAAGATCAAATCAAAATAATTAGGATACCATCACTTTAAATATTTACCTTTTCGTTATGCTAGGAACATTTGAATTACTCTTTTCTAGCTTTTGACATGTACGCTAAATTATTGCTAACTATAGTCACCCTACTGAGCTGTTGAAAACTAGGTCTTCTTCTAACTGTATATTTGTACCCATTAACCAACTATTGTTTATTGCCTCCTTCCCACTATTATTCCTGGCTTCTGGTAACTACCAATCTAGTCTCTTTTCTTTCTTTCTTTTCTTTTTTTTTCTTTTTGTAAAAGATGGTGTCTCACTCTGTTGCCCAGGATGGAGTGGAGTGGTGTGATCATAGCTCATGGCAGCCTCAAACTCCTGGGCTGAGGCAATCCTCCTGTCTCAGCCTCCTGAGTAACTAGGACTATAGGCATGTGCCATAATGCCTAGCTAATTTTTTTTTTTTTTTTAACTTTTTGTAGAGATAAGGTCTTGCTGTGTTGCCTGGGCTCACCAATCTACTCTCTATCTTCATGAGATTCATTAAAAATTTTTTTTTTTTTTTATGACGGAGTCTTGCTCTGTTGCCCAGGCTGGAGTGCAGTGGCGTGATCTCAGCTTACTGCAACCTCTACCTCCTGGGTTCCAGCAATTCTCCCGCCTCAGCCTCCCAAGTAGCTGGGACTACAGGCACATGCCATCACACCTGACAATTTATTTATTTTTATTTTTAGTAGAGATGGGGTTTCACCACATTAGGATGGTCGCGATCTCCTGACCTCATGATCTGCCCGCCTCCGCCTTCCGAAGTGCTAGGATTACAGGCGTGAACCACCGCACCCAACCTGAGAATCACTTTTTTAGCTCCCACATGAGTGAGAAAATGTGATAATTTGTCTTTCTGTGCTTGGCTTATTTCACTTAACATAATGACCATTAATTCCATCTATGTTACCCAAAATGATGGGATTTCATGGTTTTAATGGCTCAACAATATTCCCTTGTGTATATATACCACATTTATCCATTCATCCATTGATGGGCACTTAGGTTGGTTTCATATTTTGGCGACTGTGAATAGTGCTGAAATGAACATGGGAGTGAGTGCAGATGTGTCTTTGATATATTGATTTCCTTTCTTTTAGATATATACCTAGTAATGGGATTGCTGGTTCATATGATAGTTCCATTTTAATTTTTTTTGAGGAACATCTGTACTGTTTTCCATAGTGGTTTTACTAATTTACATTCCCACCAACAGTATACAAGGGTTCCTGTTTCTCCACAGCCTCGCCAGCATCCATCATTCCCTCTTTTTGATTAAAGCCATTTTAATTGGGTTGAGAGAATACCTAATTGTGGTTTTGATTTGCATATTTGCATTTCCCTGATGATTAGTGATGTCAAACATTTTTTGTACACCTAGTGGCCTTTTGTATGTCTTATTTTGAGAATGTCTATTCACTGTTTAAAAGAATCATTTTGAGGGCCTGGTGCTCATGCCTGTAATCCCAGCATTTTGGAAGGCCAAGGCAGCTGGATCATTTGGGGTCAGGAGTTCGAGACCAGTCTGGCCAACATGGTGCAACCCCATTTTTACTAAAAATACAAAAATTTTTCTACTAAAAATGCAGGGCATGGTGGCACGTTTCTACTAAAATAAAAAAAAATTTCTACTAAAAATAGAGGGTGTGGTGGCATGTGCCTGTAGTTCCAGCTACTCAGGAGGCTGAGGCAAGAGAATCGCTTCAGCCCAGGAGGTGGAGGTTGCAACAGTGAGCCGAGATCACACCACTGCCCTCCAGCCTGGGCAACAGAGTGAGACTTCATCTCAAAATAGATAAATAAATACAAATAAATAAAAAAATAATTTGGCCAGGTATAGTGGCTCACGTCTGCAACCCGAGCAATTTAGGAGGCTAAGACAGGAGGATCATTTCAGCCCAGGAGTTAGTTTGAGACGAGCCTGGGCAACATAGCGAGATCTTATCTCACTATGATATAATGAGATCCCTATTTCTTCACAGACACACACACACACACACAATTAGCTGGGTGTGATGGAGCACTCCTGTAGTCCCAACTACTTGGGAGGTTGAGGCGAGAGGATTGCTTGAGCCCAGGAGTTTGAGGCTGTAGTGAACTGTGATTGTACCACTATACTCCAGTCTGGGTGACAGAGCAAGACCCATCTCTTAAAAAAAGAATCATTTTGTAAAAGTGTAACTGTAAGGAACATATTTTCAGGGAAATGCTTGTGTAAAATTAAGTTCAGTCATATAGTCTAAGGTGGAACATTAGCTGATGAATTTAGACAGTTCTATTTAAATATTCCTGAAATACAGATCCTCTTTAACTTGCAGTGGGGCTACATCCTGATAAACTGATCATCGCAAGTTGAAAATAGCACAAAGTTGAAAATACAGGCTGCATGCAGTGGCTCACGCCTGCAATCCCAGCACTTTGGGAGGCCAAGGTGGGAAGGTCACTTGAGGTCAGAAGTTCGAGACCAGCCCAGCCAATGTGGTGAAACCCCATCTCAACTAAAATTACAAAAATTAGCCGCGTATGGTGACAGGTGCCTGTAATCACAGCTACTCCGCAGGTGGAGGCACGAGAATCGCTTGAATCCGGGAGGCAGAGGTTGCAGTGAGCTATTGCATTCCAGCCTGGATGACAAGAGTGAAACTCCGTCTCAAAAAAAGCAAAAAACAAAACAAGACAAAACATTTAATACAGCTAACCTACGGAGCATTGTAGCTTAGCTTAGCTTAGCCTACCTTAAACACGCTCCAACACTCACATTAGTTTTCAGTTAGGTTAAATCATCTAACACAAAGCGTATTTTATAATAAAGTGTTGGATATCTCATGTAATTTGCCAAATACAGTATACTGTAGATTACGGTATTAGATGTTTACCTTTGTGATCATGTGACTGACTGGGAGCTGTGGCTCTCTGCTGCTGTCCAGCATAATGAAACAGTATCATACCACAGATGGCTGGTCTGGAAAAATGCCCAAATTCAAAATTTGAAGTGTGGTTTCTACTGAATGAGTATCACTTTCCCACTGTTGTAAAGCTGAACAATTATAAGTTGAATACTCATAAGTCAGAGACTGTATGTACTTTAATAAGTTTCTAAAATTAATCAACAAATGTTAAGTCAGTGTATCAGGTTCAGTGCTGTGGGGATTCTATGAGAATTCTTGTCCTTATGGAGCCAAGTAGAGGGATCAAGATATAAGATAGACATAGTTATATTCAAAGTTAATAGGAAGTACATTACATCTTGCTACAGAAGTAGAGCAGTGCAGCTGATATACATTCTTACAGAATGTCCAATACTATACCCTCAAAGCATGTGTATTCCAGTAGGGGGAAAGCCAATAAACACAAATGTGAAGTCAGTTAGTGATAAGTATTACAAAGAAGAAGAGAAGAGAATAAGGAGTCAAGGGCAGGGCTGGAAAGTGGGGAGATGTTGTATTTGATAGACTGCTCAAGGAAGGTATATATGACGAAGTTACATTTAAGCTGAGACCTTAGTGAAGTCAGCAAAGAGCCATGCAGTGGCCTGGAACTCTCTTCCCCCAGAAGGCTGAGCTTTGTATGTTTAAGGAACAAGCAGAAAGCTGGTTTGACAAGAGCACAGTGAGGGAAAAGGCAAATGATAAATCAGGTTAGAAAGACGTGAAGCCTGTTGGTATTCTGAGGGTGATGGAAGTCATCGGGTTTTTGTTAGTTGTTTGGTTGTTTGGTTTTTAATGCATGTATTTTGGAAGACTTTGGTTTTGTTTTTATGTTTTACTGTTATGCAGAATTTCCAACATACACCAAAGTCTAGAGAGCATCTCCAATATTCATTACCCAGCTTCAACAATTATAAGCACTTAGACAATCCTGTTCCATCTCTACCTCTAGCTATTCCACACTTTCTTTCCCCTGTACCTGGATTATTTTGAAGCTGATCCTAGGCATCAATTCATATCTTCCACAAATATTTCAGTATGTGTCTCCAAAGTTAATATTATCTCATCCAAAAAAATGATTTGTTAATATCATCACATATTCACGCAACATTCAGATTTTCTCCACTGTCTCAAGTGCTTTTTGGCTTTGTTTTATTGTATTTGTTTCTCAGTATGTTCACTAGATTTAGGCTCTTAAGTTTACTAAGTCTCTTTTAATCAATAAGTTTCTTCTCCATCTCTGTCTTTTTTTCTCTTTTCTTCTTACAAATTGAATAAACCAGGATTTTTGTACTATAGTTTTCCACATTTTGGATCTTACTGTTTGCATCATTGGTGTTTTGAAGACATTTTCCTTTCTGCTATATTTCTTTTTCTTTTTTTAAAATTATACCTTTTTTTTTTTAGATGGAGTTTCAATCTTGTTGCCCAGGCTGGAGTGCAATGGTGCGATCTTGGCTCACCGCAACCTCCACCTCCACCAGGTTCAAGCCATTCCCCTGCCTCAGCTTCCTGAGTCTGAGTAGCTGGGATTACAGGCATGTGCCACCACACCCAGCTAATTTTTGTGTTTTTAGTAGAGACAGGGTTTCACCATGTTGGCTTGGATGGTCTCAACCTCCTGACCTCAGATGATCCGTCCTCCTCGGCCTCCCAAAGTACTGGATTACAGGCATGAGCCACCACACTCAGCCTTTATTATACTTTGAGTTCTGAAATACATGTGCAGAATGTGCAGGTTTGTTACATAGGTATAAATGTACCATGGTGGTTTGCTGCACCCATCAATCCATCATCTACATTAGATATTTCTCCTAATGCTATCCCTCCCCTAGCCCCCACCCCCCAGCAGGCCCCCGTGTGTGATGTTCCCCTCCCTGTGTCCATGTGTTCTCATTGTTCAACTCTCACTTATGAGTGAGAAAATGTGGTGTTTGTTTTTCTGTTCCTGTGTTAGTTTGCTGAGAATGATGGTTTCCAGCTTCATCCATGTTCTGCAAAAGACATGAACTCGTCCTTTTTTATGGCTGCATAGTTTTCCATGGTATATATGTGCTACATTTTCTTTATCCAGTCTGTCATTGATGGGCATTTGGGTTGCTTCCAAGTCTTTACTCTTGTGAATAGTGCTGCAATAAACATACATGTGCATGTGTCTTTATAGTAGAATGATTTATAATCCTTTGGGTATATACCCAGTAATGGGATTGCTGGGTCTAATGGTATTTCTGGTTCTAGATCCTTGAGGAATCACCACACTGTCTTCCACAATGGTTGAACTAATTTACACTCCCACCAACAGTATGAAAGTGTTCCTATTTCTCCACATCCTCTCCAGCATCTGTTTCCTGAGTTTTTAATGATTGCCACTCTAACTGGTGTAAGATGGTATCTCATTGTGATTTTGGTATGCATTTCTCTAATGACCAGTGATTATGAGCTTTTTTTCATACGTTTGTTGGCTGCATAAATGTCTTCTTTTGAGAAGTGTCTGTTCATATCCTTTGCCCACTTTTTGATGGGGTTGTTTTTTTCTTGTAAATTTGTTTAAGTTCCTTGTAGATTCTAGATATTAGCTCTTTGTCAGATGGATAGATTGCAAAATTTTTCTCCCATTCTGTAGGTTGCTTGTTTACTCTGATGATAGTTTATTTTGCTGTGCAGAAGCTCTTTAGTTTAATTGATTAGATCTCATTTATCAATTTTGGTTTTTGTTGCCATTGCTTTTGGTGTTTTAGTCATGAAGTCTTTGCCCATGCCTATGTCCTGAATGGTATTGCCTAGGTTTTCTTCTAGAGTTTTTATGGCTTTAGGTCTTATGTTTAAGTCTTTGATCCATCTTGAGTTAACTTTTGCATAAGGTATAAAAAAGGGGCCCAGTTTCAGTTTTCTGCATATGGCTAGCCAGTTTTCCCAACACCATTTATTAAATAGGGAATCCTTTCCCTGTTGCTTGTTTTTTCAGGTTTGTCAAAGATCAGATGCTTGTAGACATGTGGTGTTATGTCTGAGGCCTCTGTTCTGTTCCATTGGTCCATATATCTGTTTTGATACAAGAACCATGCTGTTTTGGTTACTGTAGCCTTGTAGTGTAGTTTGAAGTCCGGTATTGTGATAACTCCAGCTTTGTTCTTTTTGCTTAGGATTCTCTTGGCTATATGGGCTCTGTTTTGGTTCCATATGAAATTTAGAGTAGTTTTTTTCTAATTCTGTGAAGAAAGTCAATGGTAGCTTGATGGGGATAGCATTGAATCTATACATTACTTTGGACAGTGTGGCCATTTTCACAATATTGATTCTTCCTATCCATGAGCATGGAATGTTTTTCCATTTGTTTGTGTCCTCTCTTATGTCCTTGAGCAGTGGTTTGTAGTTCTCCTTGAAGAGGTTCTTCACATCCCTTGTAAGTTGAATTCCTAGGTATTTTATTCTCTTTGTAGCAATTGTGAATGGCAATTCACTCTTGATTTGACTCTCTGTTTGTCTATTATTGGTGTATAGGAATGCTTGTGATTTTTGCACATTGATTTTGTATCCTGAGACTTTGCTGAAGTTGCTTGTCAGCTTAAGGAGATTTTGGGCACCACTTATCCCACAGAAATACAAACTACCATCAGAGAATACCAAAGTATTCTCTAATACTATAAACACCTCTAGGCAAATAAACTAGAAAATCTAGAAGACATGGATAAATTCCTGGACATACACCCTCCCAAGACTAAACCAGGAAGAAGTCGAATCCCTGAAATCAACCAATAACAAGTTCTGATATTGAGGCAGTAATTAATAGCCTACCAACCAAAAAAAGCCCAGGACCAGATGAATTCACAGCCGAATTCTACCAGAGGAATAAAGAGGAGCGGGTACCATTCCTTCTGAAACTACGCCAAACAATAGAAAAAGAGGGCCTCCTCCCTAACTCATTTTATGAAGCCAGCATCATCCTGATACCAAAACCTGGCAGAGACACAACAAAAAAAGAAAATTTAAGGCCAATATGGTGGCTCACGCCTGTAATCCCAGCACTTTGGGAGACCAAGATGGGTGGATCACAAGGTCAGGAGATCGAGACCATCCTTGCTAACACAGTGAAACCCCATCTCTACTAAAAATACAAAAAAATTAGCCAGGCGTGGTGGTGGGCACCTGTAGTCCCAGCTACTCGGGAGGCTGAGGCAAGAAAATGGCGTGAACCCAGGAGGCGGAGCTTGCAGTGAGCCAAGGTCACAGCACTGCCTGCCAGCCTGGGACTCCGTCTCAAAATAATAATAATAATAATAAAATAAAAATAAATAAATAAAAATAAAAAAAATAAAATACTGGCAAACCAAATCCAGCAGCACATCGAAAAGCTTATCCACCACGATCAAATCTGCTTCATCCCTGGGATGCAAGGCTGGTTCAACACACACAAATCAGTAAATGTAATCCATCTCATAAACAGAACCAATGACAAAAACCACATGATTATCTCAATAGATGCAGAAAAGGCCTTTGATATAATTCAATACCCTTCATGCTAAAAAACACTCAATAAACTGATATTGATGGAACGTATCTCAAAATAATAAGAGCTATTTATGACAAACCCACAGCCAGTATCATACTGGATAAAGTAAAACTGGAAGCATTCCCTTTGAAAACCGGCACAAGACAAGGATGCCCTCTCTCATCTCTCCTATTCAACATAGTATTGGAAGTTCTAACCAGGGCAATCAGGCAGGAGAAAGAAATAAAGGATATTCAATTAGGAAATGAAGTTAGATTGTCTCTGTTTGCAGATGACATGATTGCTGTATTTCTTAAAAACTAGTACTTGCATCTAGAAGCTTGATGAAATTTGGGTTCAATTTTTTGGCAAGAATACTTTATAGGTGGGGATATGTGCTTATATCAGAAGAAATATAATGTTTATCTCTTCTTGACATGTAAGTAGCCATTGATTATTCCATAGATCCATTAATTCATTAATGGATCATTGCAAAATTCTGGTATTTTAATTCTATCATTCCTTTATTTATTTGCTAGAATACTTACCATAAAGAGAATCTTTCTCTCACCAACTATTTGGTTAACCTGACCTACAGTTGTATAGGAAAAGCAGGATAAAGGCTTGATTATTTTATAAACTGGTTTTTAAAATAATGAGTTGTTTCCCTAACATCCTCAGAAACTGACCAAAGAGTACTGTATTTTAATATACTATGAATTCATGGATTATAACACTTTTTTTTTTTTTTTTAGAGACAGGGTCTTGCTCTGTCATCCAGTCTGGAGTGCAGTGGTGCCATCACAGCTCACTGTAGCCTTGACCTCCTGGGCTCAAGTAATCCTCCTGCCTCAACCTCCTGAGTAGCTAGAACTACAGGCACCAGATACCACTCCTGGCTAATTTTTTAAATTTTGCGTAGAGATGGGGTCTTGCTATGTTGCCCAGGCTGGTTTTGAACTTCTGGCATCAAGCAGTCCTCCCACTTTGGCCTCCCAAAGTGCTGGGGTTATAGGCGTGAGCCACTATACCAGGCTACAGATGATAATACTTTTGTGTGTTTCAATCCATTGCCATTATTATTCTGTTTTAGTACTCACAGTGTCACATTTTTGGCCAGCTTCTTCAAATTGGCTGAGTCAAAAAGACTTATACGACCGAGTAGTCACTGATAACTTCTGTGCTTTTTGCTGTGAAAGATCTGAGCTCTTCTACTTTTTGTGTCCCAGACCTTAAGTCAGCCATTTTTCAGAGGAGTCCTGGTTATTTTTAGTGGAAAATTATATTTAGCATTCTTTTTAATGGATATATCATTGAAAGTACAAGATATTATTTTTAGTTTTTAAAATTATGAAAGTAATGAAGCTATGTTATAATGTTTCATTTTAAAATTACAGAGTTTCTGTTCTTTAACAGGATTGGCGAGCGTGCTATTCTACTGGGAGGACTCATCGTTGTATGGGTTGGCTTCTTTATCTTGTTACCTTGGGGAAATCAATTTCCCAAAATACAGTGGGAAGGTATAGCCATACATAATTCTATAATGTTAGCCTCTGTTATTTATCTAAAATCAACAAGTAATGCACTGCAATGATTTTGTTTTTACAGATTTGCACAATAATTCAATCCCTAATACCACATTTGGGGAAATTATTATTGGTCTTTGGAAGTCTCCAATGGAAGATGACAATGAAAGACCAACTGGTTGCTCAATTGAACAAGCCTGGTGCCTCTACACCCCGGTGATCCATCTGGCCCAGTTCCTTACATCAGTTGTGCTAATTGGAGTAGGCTATCCAGTCTGCAACCTTATGTCCTATACTCTATATTCAAAAGTTCTAGGACCAAAACCTCAGGTAAGCCAGGTAGCCTGACATTGCAATTATAGAAAATATACTTGTAAGCACTCACATTTTTTGCTGCCATTCTTTATTTTTACACAGACTGATTTGAGGGATTTTTATCATATTTAGCATTTAAAATTTTTAAAAATCCCCCAACTTCTATAAAGTGTTTGCAAGATTTATATGTTGAAATTTACAAACAGTACCCTAAGCTATAACTCAAAGATGTTTTGAACTCAGAGATTAGGGAGCTCAAAATCATTTTCATAGGAAAAAAATAATCTGAGGTATAATTTTTTTTTTTTTTTTGAGGTGTAAATTTCTAAAACTCATTCTTAAACTAGGCTAGAGTTAGGCAACCAAAATTGATAACCAGATTTGAACCTAGGCTTAATTTCATCTAGCCCCAGGCAATTACTAAGAGATTAAAAACACGATAGTCTTAAAAGTTTACAGCAGCTATGTATATTTTATAATTTTTAAATAAGTTTTCCACGTTTTTATAGAAAATTAGCAACAATGTAGAAGGAAAATGAAAAATTTCAATGAGACAGTTGCTACCAACATTTTGGCAAAATTACATTTCTACTTCCAGTCTTTTATCTATGCTTATATGTGTACGTGCATTTACCACAAAAATAGGATTTTAAAAATAGTATCATGGATACTGTTTTGTAATCTGCTTTAAAAAAATAATAATGCATTGTGACTATGCTCCCATACCATTTAATTTTCTCTTAGAGAATTATTTTTAATGTAAACATTATATTCCATTTTATGTATGTACCGTCGTGTATTTGCAATCATTTTCCTATTATTATACATTTAGATTATTTCCAGGTTTTGCTTCTGACTCTTTTTTAAATTTTTTTGAGACAGTCTTTCTCTGTCACCCAGGCTGGAGTGCAGTGGTGCGATCTCGGCCCACTACAACCTCTGCTTCCTGGGCTCAAACAATTCTTGTGCCTCAGCCTCCCGAGTAACTGGGACCACAGGTGTGCACCGTGGGGCCTGGCTAATTTTTGTATTTTTGTACCGATGGGGTTTCACCATGTTGGCCAGGCTGGTCTCAAACTCCTGAGCTCAAGTGAGCCTCCCACCTTGACCTCCCAAAGTGCTGGGTTTACAGGTACGAGCCACCGTGCCTGCTCACTTGTAACTCTTTTTAATAATAGTCATTTAAATGGCCACAAAATAAAAATATTATCTTCCTCTTTAAAAATTAAATAGCGGCCGGGCACCATGGCTCACGCCTGTAATCCTAGCACTTTGGGAGGCCAAGGTGGGCGGATCACGAGGTCAGGAGATCGAGACCATTCTGGCTAACATGATGAAACCCCGTCTCTACTAAAAATAGAAAAAGTTAGCCAGGCGTGGTGGCGCCTGCCTGTAGTCCCAGCTACTTGAGAGGCTGAGACAGGAGAATGGCATAAACCCGGGAGGTAGAGCTTGCAGTGAGCAGAGACCGCGCCACTGCACTCCAGCCTGGGCAACGGAGCGAGACTCCGTCTCAAAAAATAAATAAATAAATAAATAAATAGCTTTACGTTTTCAGAGCAGAAATTAGTGTTTCTCTATTGAAATAAGGCAAAGAGGAGAAAAAATGAATACCCCTGTTTTCAAGTTATAAGGAGTAGATACAACATTTCAGTAATAATTTCTGGGTTTGTTTTTAACCTAATAGATTATATTTTTAATTTTTCAAAATTAAGAATAAAAGCTTGTTAATTACCAGAGCAATATATAATGGTTGTAACAAAATTCAAATAATTTAGAAATGTATTTAACAGAAAATGGAGGCTCCCCTTAGCTTCACCTCACCAAAGTCAACCACTGTTAACTTAATTTGTATGCTTTAAGACATTTTTCTATCCATATCCAAACATACCCACATTTGTACCTTTTTTTAGAAAAAGGGAGAAATGGACTATATCACATGGATATATACTTGTTTCTGCTTCTTGATAGGTTTTTTTTTTTTTTACTTAATATGTTATAGCTTTCTTTCCATGTCAGTGTATACAGATGTTTTCAGAAGATTTTACTGTCTCTATATAAGGCTTTATTCTTGTAAATAGCTGCTTATTAGTACCATAAGACAGGGCAAGGAAAAATTTTAAAAATATAAGTAGCTGCTTAGCATTCCAGTTATTAAGTATACCATAGTTTATTCACTTAATCTACCAGTGACATTTAGGTTGTTTCCAATTTGAGGCTATTAAAAGCAATGCTGCCCTGAACATTCTTGGGCAGTTTATGTGGATTATGGTTTTGGATACAGAAGTTGTAGGAGTGGCATTGTGGTAGAGTGTAAAATGGCACAGTGGAGTCAGCCAAATATGGCTTCAAACTTCTTGAACAAGTTACTTAAACTTTCTGAGTTTCAGTTTCTACCTTTGTTAAACGGGGATAACACCTGTCATCGAAACTTATGAACATTACAAATGATGTATGTAAAGCACCTACCTCAGTGACTGGCATGTAGCAGTTACAAAATAAGTGTTAGCTTTAAAAGGTATTTCAATCAATTTTATTATTCCCAGGGCTTCAGCAGACATTAAGTTTTCCCTTTACACTCCTTTTATTTTTCTTAATCTGACTTGATATCAAATGCTATATTTATAGGAGGCATTTTATGTTTAATTTAAAAGTAAAAGATAGAGAAAGCGATTCTTGTTAGTTTGCTGTAGTTTGGTAATACCATTTCTTTGCTTTTAAATAACTAAACCCCAGTATCAATCTGCTTGTCCCCCATTTCACCCCCAACAGGGTGTATACATGGGCTGGTTAACAGCATCTGGAAGTGGAGCCCGGATTCTTGGGCCTATGTTCATCAGCCAAGTGTATGCTCACTGGGGACCACGATGGGCATTCAGCCTGATGTGTGGAATAGTAGTGCTCACCATCACACTCCTGGGAGTAGTTTACAGAAGACTCATTGCTCTTTCTGTAAGGTATGGGAGGATTCAGGAATAAACTAGCTAAGACTGTGATGGAAACTACTTGCTGTGTGGCACTTCCTGGCTAAAGCTCTTCTAGACAATTGTGATGAGCCAGTCTCCAAGAATCAGACTACAGATATTGCAGATTTTGAAGAACAAGAACATATGTTGAATAACAGAGAGAATTCTACATGTGATTGTGAATAGTAGGTTATATAAAAACATACTAGATCATAATTTCCTTATCTCAGAATGAAAATTATTCTTATAACACCTTTTTGTGGTTGCATGAACTAATGAGTGACGGACAACGATGTATAAATGTGAAGTTGTATTCTTAATACCAACTGCAGAAGTGTCATTAAAATGATATACAGTGGAACCAGAAAGAGGGTTCTGTTAAGAATTAGCTATAGCAGAATAAAATTATAGAATCTAAAAAACTCAAGTAGAGGTATTTTTATTCAGATACCTACTTTTTATTTATAAAAAAATATATTTTCTATTATCAGATAGTTCCCTTATGAAATAAAAATTATAACACTTATATTTTCCATTTAGCATGCCTAACATCCTACCTTGCCTTCTTTTTTTTTTTTTTTTTTTTGAGACGGAGTCTCGCTGTGCTCCCAGGCTGGAGTGCAGTGGCGTGATCTCGGCTCACTGCAAGCTCCGCCTCCCGGGTTCACGCCATTCTCCTGCCTCAGCCTCCCAAGTAGCTGAGACTACAGGCGCCCGCCACCACGCCTGGCTAGTTTTTTGTATTTTTAGTAGAGACGGGGTTTCACCATGTTAGCCAGGATAGTCTCGATCTCCTGACCTCGTGATCCACCCGCCTCGGCCTCCCAAAGTGCTGGGATTACAGGCTTGAGCCACCGCGCCCGGCCCCTACCTTGCCTTCTATAAGTCTTCTAATACTGCACCTATGCCTTATTTTAGTTCAGGGTTTCAGTAAGTAACCCCTACATTCATAAATGAGGATGAATAATGCTAATATTTGAGCAATACAGAGGACTAAGAGATCAAGATACTTCACTGCCTATTAGCCTAATAGGGTTACCTACTTTCTTTCAAATGCCAATAATTCACATTAGAAACATAATCCAGATATGTGTTATTGTATATATATACAAAACAGTAAATGGTTTATTAAAATTATTGCTATTTTTCAACCCCCTTAAACTGGAGAAAAACATTTAATTAGTAAAACATTAATTAATTTACTTCAATTTTTCCCATCTCTCAGTAGTGGTGGGGAGGAACACAACATTTTTCAATCTATGTCTGCATCGTTGTTTAGAGCTGCAGAATTTTAGTTGGATTTTTAATTTGGATGGTCCCTGACAGCCCCAACCTAGTCAAGCTAATAAGTATTTGAGGCAAAATGGCTTTAATCTAACAATTTACTGAGTTTACCTGAAGTTGGCTAAATAACACTGTATGTTTAACTTCTCCCTCTACATAAGTTGAATGCTGATAAAAGGAACTAGTAGAGAACTGTGTATATGGATAAGCAGTGTTACAGAAAATGCAGAAATATTTCTAAACACTTTTCCAAATGTTTTCTACTTTAAGTTAGAAATATTTTCAAATCTGAGAATAAACACTATAATCTGCACTTTATAGACTGGGTACAGTGTCTCACGCCTGTAATCCCAGCACTTTGGAAGGCCAAGGCAGGAGGATTGCTTGAGGCCAGGAGTTCAAGACCAGCTTGGGAAACAAAGTGAGACCCTGTCTCTACAAAAAATAAAATAAAAACAAAAATTTAAAAATGTATAATCTGCACTTTATGCTAAACTTGCTGTGCTCTTACACTCAATTTTTTCAGCTCTAATAAAGGGCTTAATTTGATAGAATTATTCTACGATTAAATTTTGAAGACTGTTCACTCTCCTCTTCCACCCATAGCAAGACTGCTTCCATAGATTTCTCAGAACTGTAGCCAGGTTTCTGGCTATTTGGTCAAGTCTGGGATCCCTCTTACCTATTTTTCTGCAGCTGCTTTCTCTGTCTTACATTTTTTGGGCCACTTCTAATCTTAAAGAGTAAACTCCACCGTTGGTTTGCATAGTGTGCATAACAGAAATAACAAGAATAATGGTAGTGATGAAAGTGATAAGAGCAAAATTTGCAGAGTGCTTTCCACATTCCAGGTAATGTGTAACATATAATTTAATTCTTACAGCAGTCTTATGGAGTAAAAATACTATTATGATTCCCATTTTATAGAGGAAAGAATGGAGGCACAGAAAAGTTACTTGTCTATGTAACAGTCTATCCTTAAAGTCCACAGTCTTAACCACTGTATTTTTCATAGTGAGGAAAATAGCCCAGAAAGTTACAGTTTCAATTAGTTACTAATTGTAGGATAACTTAACCATACCAGTGACTCCTATTAGCAGAAATATTTGGGCAACATAAGCTCAGTGACTGGAGCTTTTGTCGTAGCATAATAGCCTGTTTCCAGCAAAAACAGAGAAGTTTCCCAGCTTTCAAAGGTTTATAATATTGATTAATATTTAGATAAACTTAACCTTGCATAAATGACTGTTACTTTCCTTTTTATTGAGAGCATTTTCTTTGGTGCATTTTCTTCTTTGGAGGTTTATACCTTGCTCATCTTGGCACAAAAGAAGGCGAAAGGAAGTAACACGAGATTGAGAAAAGAGCAAGGAGGTAAAGTTTGAGGAAAAAAATCACTCTGTTGATGTCTTCTTGAGTAGGCCAAGTTGAGTATAAAGAGAAAATGACAACAGGAGATTTTAAGGTATGATACATTGTTAAGAGTAGTACATATTTAGGAAGAGAAAATATGTTTTTGAAAACATAAATTTAAACTTGAAAGGATGATTTTCATATTTTGAAGGGATTTATAACTTCACGAAGCATCTCTATTCTATCTTGTTCAGCTTTACATTTAAAAATAAACTCTTCTGGTTCATATAAAACTTATCTCTTACATAAAGTGAAATCTGTTAATTTTTTGTTTTGACAAGGATAAACTGCTTGTCTGCATCTGTTTAAGAATAGGTTAACTTATTTTGAGAAGAAATTCTGGGCACCATTTTTGACTATTGAAGACTTATTTGTAATTTAATATCTACTTTACATTGTGAATGTCCATTTTCTAATAAACAAGATTATTTTGCATATGTACCTTAAGCTTTAAAACTGTATTCAGTCGTGCTTTCCATACATATTTAAGGAAGTACCCCCTACGTGCCAATTACCATGTCATTTGGGGGATTGTGCAGTAAACAAAACACATGGAGCTCCAGCCTTCATGAGGCTTATGTACCAGCAAGAAAGTCAGATATTCACAAGATGATTTCACAGATGATTATGATTAAGGGAAGGGTGATGAGAGAGAAGCATAGGGAGCTATGAGGGTGAATATGATTAACAGGGAACCTGACCTGAACAGGAGAGTCAGGCATGTTTCTCCGGGAATAAATGATTAGCTAAGACCTGGTGGAAGAGAACAATTTGGATTGGTGAAGAGTGGGACAGGTAGTTTTCAGGCAGAATGCAGTGTGTACAAAGCCCTGGAGGTGGGAAGATCTTGGAGCTTTCACAGAACTAAAAATAGGTCCAAGGTGGGTGGACTATAGTGGTTGAGAAGAAGCCTAATATTAGCTGAGTCTATACAGGGACAATGCAAGGCTTTGTAGGCCCCAAGTATGACTTCTTGTGCAACTAAGAGTTTGAGAATTCTATTTAGGCATGGTTGGAGCTAGAGTCCAAATGTCATCAGGACTCTTTTCTTTGAGTTCTACATGTCTCTGCTTGACCTTATTTTCAGATGCCGTCCATGTTGTAGGAAGAGGACCACTGGCAGCCCTAGGCACACAACATCCTTATAGCTCACAATTCTAGAGAAAAATGGCTTGGGTAGTAGTACCAGAAAAAACATGAAGTAGCCGAGTTTAGCTCATGTACATATCCCTGAATTGACCACATGAGAATAGACTCCTCTACTAACCCAGACATAGATCACACATCCATTCTGGAAATGCAGTGTGGGAGGGAGGAGGGGAAGAACCCTGTGGAGCTTGTCCCAATTACATGGTCTAAACAGACATAACTGGATGAAAAGGAGATTCCACCAAAGAAAGGTTTGCTGACAAAAAATATATGCCCACTACCCCTCCCAGCTGTTTTCACATCATTGCACTCATAGGAAATATTATATGCCCCATTATGGAAATGGATGAAATCGTTTGTACCCAGCTTCTCTAGCCAATACAGGCCCTATCAATCAACTCCAAGCTCTGAAGGGATCAGTTTACTGTCTGCAAGTATAACAAGTATTTATTTGTGATACACCAATGTTAAAAGCATGGTACTGTTCCATATTAGGTATTTTGGGCTTTATTTAAGAAAAGTGGCTGGGCATAGTGGCTCATGTCAGTAATCCCAGCACTTCAGGAGGCCGAGGCAGGTGGAACACCTGAGGTCAGGAGTTCGAGACCAGCCTGGCCAACATGGTGAAACCCTGTCTCTACTAAAAATACAAAAATTAGCCGGGCGTGGTGGCGGGCACCTGTAATCCCAGCTACTCTGCAGGCTGAGGCAGGAGAATCGCTTGAACCTGGGAGGCAGAGGTTGCAATGAGTCAAGATCACGCCACAGCACTCCAGCCTGGGTAACACAGTGAGACTCCCTCTCAAAAAAAAGTGAGAAGGTATTTAAGGTAACATGTTCTCTTAAAAGAATCCTGGGCATCTTGTAGACATGGCTAGTTTCAGGTCTGGGGCAAGGAGAACTGGAGACATTTATTGTGCCAGAAAGCAAGGAAGTTATCAAAGACTACTGAAATCTTGCCAAAAGGACAGAGGACTCAAAGTGGCCAGTAGGCCAAAAAAATGAGGTAATTAACGTATAAAGTAGAATAGTATTTGTTGTTAATTTAAACAAATGTGTGAAAATCCATGAGTTCAAAATGATATTAAAAATAAGAAACTTATTGGTCACCTTTGGAGGCTTCTAGAGTGTTCGCTCTTTATTCTGAAAACCAGAAAATAGCTGTGGCTCACACCTGTAATCCCAGCACTTTGGGAAGCAGAGGCGGGAGGATCACCTGAGGTCAGGAGTTTGAGACCAGCCTGGCCAACATGGTGAAACCCTGTCTCTACTAAAATACAAAAAATTAGCCGAGAGTGATGGCGCATGCCTGTAGTCCCAACTGCTCAGGAGGCTGAGGCAGGAGAATCGCTTGAACCCGGGAGGCAGAGGTTGCAGTGAGTTGAGATCATGCCACTGCACTCCAGTCTGGGCAACAAAGTGAGACTCCGTCTCAACAACAACAACAAAACCCAGAAAATAAAGAATGAAGCATCTATTCT